AATGGGGTGAAGTACAAATGAACGGATCTTGGAGGAACAGAGTGTCTTTAACTCATCCTTATTCATTACCATCTAGGTCTCGGCTCGGGTTCCTCACGTGACGCGTGACAAGAGCAGAACGTCCCAAATCATTGACTAGCCCACCGTGCATGCATTAATCACATCTGGCCCAAAAGCAGCGCTTTCAATGGTGTCGTACACCGTCTTGTTCATTTCAAGATACAACCTTTATTGGAAGAAGTATGAAATAATCGGAAGGGGGCTTTGCAAGAAATTTGAATAAGAACGGATTCGCAATAGTGATGATATTAGTCCACTCGCATAATACCTCCCACAAATGAAGAACTGCCCAAGAAAGTGAAAGAGAAGATTTCGTGAAATCACAAATCAAATCACAAGCTGATTACAATCGGACACCTCATATTTAATGAAAAACGAGCCAAGACACCAAGCAGATCAAAGATTTAAATAGATCTGTAGACGAGACGCAGGTAACCAAGCAAATGGGCAAAATGTAGGGAGTGAGCAAAATGACAGTACACCGCGATTTGATTATCATGCTGGTGGCATTAACCCCGGTCATGTCGTTTATGCTGCCCAGTGAAAAACAGCATTTAGACCGACCCATGGGTGGTAGGAATGAAAGAGCAGCTAGTTCCCAAGTCCAGTTGCTGCAACCCCAAAGTGTCACAGGGAGAAGTCGTCTGACGTGGACGGTCAAACCAGAAATAGTTAATAAAGCGATTTTTGCAACTACCCCCATTTCAAGTATGAAGCGAGACTAGATTTGAAAGAATTGAAAACGCCCATCAAAAATATGCGTAGGGTATTAACAAGCAAATATTTAGTTATTGGCATCATCCAAAGACCTGATGTCTCTCTACATTACAAAAAGGTGGCGAGAAAAGCCCCTTCCAGTCTTCAAAAGGACGGCCAACTAATCTCCACAATGAAAATCACAAATGAGACCATCACCGGATTTATTGAGTATCTTGCGGTGAGGAATGACCGCATGAACTTAATCCCTGGCTCATAAATGGCTACAATGAGCCTCTGCGAGAACCGTGGCCGTGAGGAGCATGTGGGGGTGGCACCCATTTGGTTGGTAGCTGCGTTCACAATTGGTTTAGTTGCCAACCGATCATTTCGTGAAGAGCTACTGGAAGTATCGTTTGACAAGTTCTTGCGATTAGCTCATCAATAGGGACATATAGTTCCCCATTATTAAGAATAGAGGGTAAGCCAATAAGAAATGCTACTTTAGGATTGATAAGAACAGACGGCTAGAGGAACACAAAGTTATGGCCAAATGAAAAGCAGCCAAAAGAAACAAATCCGTAGAAGACGCACAGTCGATGAAGCGCATAAACGAGCATGTAGTTGTAGTGATGATCAATCAACTGAATGGATCGTCGTGAAACTTTGGTAGAAACACCCTATCTTCTAATCTGACCGTTCATACACATTGGCAAGAAGCCAAAAGAGCACGTCCAGTGGTGTTAATGGACTGACAGGTGAAAAGACGAATTGGCGGATAGCTTCGAGGTCAAATGAACTAAGGGGCTGAAAAGCTAAATGGATGGAGGCGTGATACACGGGGAGTTAAGCAAATGGACAAAAAGGCAATGGGTGGGTAATATTAAAAAGATAAAATAATAGTTAAACAAATGAATGAGAAGCAGGAAAACACTATGATAAAAGATATACTTCTTAAGGTTTGATCTAACAACCCGTAGAGCATTAAACAGGCAGACAAACAAAAATGGACAAAAGAAAAGGCTTGGGTGGACGCACTTGGAGACCAGAGACAGTGAAGTAGGGAATCTCGAAGCGCACCGAGATGGGTGGCCGCGACTCGCCAGCGGTGTCGCCCTCCACGGAGGGGAGACCAAAACTGGCGCGCATGATGTACTCTTTGCCGCCAGGAAAGCTTTTGATGCTCCACACCACCAGGTTCTCCTCTGGGACGTACTTACAGGTCCCCACGGTGGTTTTGAAACGCGGAGAGTCCACATCACTGGGCACGGGAATGCGGATTTCCACCTGGTTTGCCGTGCTGCGACGCTTGAACTGCGCCTTTGCCTACGGAGGCAGAAAGTGGGAAACGCCTTAGCGACCACTTCAACACCTTTCTCACATTTGAGCTAAATTCTGTTAGGTCTAGCAGCCACCCTTATTTACTTCTAGAAGATCAAGTTGATTCTAACGACCACGCCATAGCTTAAAGATGTATTCCATTCCAGTAATTACTTTCAAGTACTTCAGAAGGAGCTAATCAATTTTTAAGGCAACTTTTACAGCAACTTCTGGTCGCAAGATGTGAAGCTAGTTGATTTAACTAAACGCTTGAAGTGGATCTAGTAGATTTGAAAACCACTTTTGGATAATTCAAGGGGGATCCAATTAGTCCCATCTACCGTTTCCAAAGCCTTTAGAAGAACGTTTGACTCTACCTACCATCCCCAAAAGCTTGGAGTAGAAAAAAAATTCAACAATCTCGACTGAATATTTACAATTCACAGTTGATTTTGACTGAATTTCAATGATCGCTTCGTGAACGAGTCCGCCGTGGGCAGAAATCTCTACCAAGTGGTTGAGGTGGATCTGTCTGACTAGCTAGAATAGGCCAGTTTAGAATCAACTGCAGTAAGCAAATTCAAATAGATGCATAAAGGTCCAGCAACCACGTTCAAGGACTCCTGAAGAATCCATTGTAGTTCCAACTATCACATGAAGTGAACCCAATCTAAATTTAGGGTAAACTTACAATGAATTCAAATGGATCCATTTAGTTTCAATGCCCAATTTTTAATGCTTCGGGTGGGTGAAAACAGTTTCCAGGACAAATTCCATCGACTGAACTAAAGTCAATCTCATTGGCATTTTCAAGCATTGAAATTAGATATACTCCATAATAGCAATCAAATTCAACTATTCGAAATCATAACCACAAATTTCAGCAAATGTAAGAGGATCGGGTTAGCAGCTCAACACGCGATTGATTCAAGTAAATCTAACATAATTTACCAACAAGAGCATATTGGGCTAAGATGAAATTAACTCACCTTTACCATGTACTCCACGCGGCTGTGAGCATGCATTTCAATCACAGACTCAACCCAAATCAGAGGCTTCACCTATAAAAAACCAAAGAGAAGTTAACGGTTTCCCGAAATAATCAGGCTGCACTTTACTGGAAGGTGCAGTGCCTACAGTGTTCAATACGTACCTGTAACTCTAGTTACTATTCACAACGAACTCGAAGTAACATATTGGTGAAAACCGGTAAATTGAATGGAAAAAGGGTGACCCCATTTACCTTCAAGAAAACCACCAAACTAAGTCTATTAAGATTTAAATTTGGCTGACGGCAAGATTGAAACGTGCCACCATATTGATAAAAAGGGACTTCAGTGCTTCTATGGATGAAGTGTATTACGACAGATGGACTGTACTACAAGTAAAAGACTACTTACACCACCAACGGAATTGAGAACATGATGAGAGCTCTATAAATAGGGTCGCGTAGAGTTGAGAGCGAAAATATCCCGTCATTATTCTTTCAAAACGAAAAAGGCTGACAGCAGGAGGACCACTTACGTGAGTGTTCAGGCGGTAGGACATGAGTTCGAATTCCCCATCGGGTGGGATGAAGGAGATTGTTCGATCGTTTTCGAAACGCGACAATCGGACACATTGATGAAATTTGATGTCCTCCAATTCCACAGACTTACCCCTCCCTCGATCTGAGGAAACGACAATGTCAGGGAATACGGGAAAGTTTGAAAGACCCAACGAAAAAGGAGAGCTTGTTTGTATCCTCAAATTATCAAGAAAAACACACAAGCACGACCTACGAGATGTTGGTAAACATGAGTTGAACAAGCTTGGTTTAGACGAAAGATCGACCAAAATATTGACGAATTGAACATAAAACGCCGTTTGTTTGCATTAAAAAACCCGTCAACAAGAAAAGGAAATGGTAGTTGACTTAGTAGTGCAGCGTGATCGAATAAAAATTTGCACCAAAACCCAATTTCCCCCCTGACGCGTTGACAACGACCCGGTTCCCTTCTTAGCTAGCCAATCATTTTAAAATGGTACAATATCGCTACTTTATTTCTGCCATGCCCTATTAAACCACAGCAAAACAATTACTCAGGCCACAGGTAATAAAAATGAAATAAAGAATTAAAAAGTAATAACGACGTAAGACAAGGCAGAAATGAACGTTAGAAATACTGGCTTATTTTCGATTCAATATAATTGTTAATTGCTAAACCAATCCAAAACGAAAAATAGGGCCAAGTATAGAAGGAACTACACCCTAGCAACAGATAAAAAAGGAAAGCAGTAAAAATAAAAACTTAACAGGCGCCAACTATCAAGCATAACATCACGTGTTAGCCCAGTACTAGGAGCCACAGATTCACGCAAGTAGACGGAAACGCCTAGATGTAAGACAAACGAAACCCACTGCCATTGGGCTCCAAACGGAGTTTGTCGTTGACGCCCAGTCGCAGCTCTGGCATACCCGAAAGATAAACTTTCATTTTTATGCAACCAACGATTTCACTTTGCAGCACGTTGCCAGTGGAGCTGACCTAGAAACATATTGGGAATCCAGAAGGCAAGATTCTTACAAGAAGATTGACGCTTTCGATGACATCGAGGAAGACTTCGTTTCTTCGATACTTTACTGACTCCGAGCGCCAAGATACTGCGTTAGTAACGGCCATAGGTGGCCTGGGCGTAATCTCAAGTTTGCTGCTTTGTTGGGTGATATACTCCTGAAGTATTTTAGAGTCCGTTGTCTGGGGATAACCGAAATCCATTATTTCATCGAGGAGCTCATAAGTGATGACAAAGTTGTCACGAATACTCTCTTCTTCCAGATCTTTAAAATACTCAAGAAAGATCTACACAAAAGGTATTACAAATGAACATCCAACTTACATTAATCAACCTATATAAAAATGCAAAAACGACTGCAGCATTCGCATTCCTTTTTGTTAATGCGACAAGGTAAAGGTAATTGTATTTGACATAGATGAAACTGGCACCTTCGTAGTGGATCACGGGGGAAATTTGGCCCTCATCTTCCCTCTCTATGACGATCGAGAGAAATTTCTCAATCACGCTCATGTCTATGTCATCACGATAATTTCGATAGATGAGGACCTTTCCCTTAGAATCGAGAACAAAAATTGCCGACGCGGACATGTCCAAGACGACAATGTAGTCACGGGCTAGTGCAGTTAGCACTTTCAGCCCACAAAGCACAGTCAACTAAGTAAATTAAGTATAAGAATTTTGTATTCGAAAAAATATGGGTTTGCTTGTATTTTAACTTATTAATATAAAAAATCATTTTAAAAATCTTTAGGCAGGTCTAAAATATAAAATCAAGCCGTCACATTACTCCAAGTGGATTAGCAACACTGAGCACAATGCAAAAAATTTTTTTATAAAAAGGAGAGCATTCAAACTAAAGGTAGCCCTAGTTATTATATATTAATAGTTTAATCACGTGCTGAGCAGATGTGCATTTATTGACATCGCAAATAAGCACACTATTGGAGTGATTATATGCAGCCCCTAATTGTCTGGCCTAAATTCATATTAAGTCATGTCTGCATTATTCGAAAACTTTCTTAAGGACAAAAGGAGACATAATACTCAGGTAGAATACATATAATCAACTTGTACTAGTGTTGGACGAGGTTTGTCGATCTCCACTTCCCTGATCCTCATACTCTTAAAACACCCAGGTAAATTCGACTTCCACATGTTTATTGGGATGAGTAAATAGAAAATACTAATACAAGTGTAGAGGGTGAGTAAACAGAACCACCCTCCTGGTTACAGGACGGTGACGCCTCAGTCAGGAGATTCGACTTGTATGCCCGCCTCATCTCTAAAAGGTCCATACAAACAACATAAGTATTATATAGCATTCTCGTCCTTCCAGTACCATCCTTCGTGTTACTACTGACGATCACCTCTTAAGGTTGCCAAATGGTAATTTCCTATCTTCCTTAAGGGTGTAAATCTAGTCTTCACATCCAACCGGTGATGGCCATTTGTAGGGTCGCATCCTGTTTTGATGACCAGTTACCAGCTGTTACGTAGTTGTGCATTGCGGACGAGGTAGTTTGTAGGATAGAGCGCATTCGCCCGAAATGGGTCCTTGCTCAATAATTAATGGAACATGCGGTGTATTCCAGTTAAGGGAGGGAGCAGCCTGTAAATTTGAACTAAGTCTCCTTCTCGGTAGACGTTTTTCCGGGTGTGCTGGTGGTAATATTTCTTCTGTCTGACACAGTAATTGGTAAGTTTTGGCAAAACACGCCATGAGGGTAAATGACAAAGGCACAAATCAGTTGTAATCCGCCTTTTAGGAGCCTTAGCAGATTCATCTACACCCATGTAGAATCCCGAGACTCCCCGAAGACAAAAGAAGACACAATACTAGGGCAGTATATATGCATTCAGCATAGAGAAGGTGTCTGGGGTACTGAGATGGTCCAAAGGCCAGCCCACCAAACTAGAAGCAAGAAGGCTAATTCAAAGTACAAAAGTGGCGCTCCACCAATAATACCAAAGGATAAACCACCATTATATTGCACCCAAAAGACACCTCACTTTCGTGACATTAAAGATTTGTATTCAGCTGAAAATCAGAATGTTTGTGCTTTCGGCTCTGGGTGGCTTGCTTTTACCACAAGTGTTAAGCCGCGAGTCCACGAGGAAATGGCGGTATGCTGAAATGGTAGGAGTAATGAATATCACTAATGTGCATAGGAGCCAGAAGTCCGTTAATATTCTGCATAGCCCAAGTCTTTGAACCTAGGTACAATCTACGGGGTGTCAGCGTTCGAGCAGTTAAACGCAATGCAAAACTTTCCATCTTCCTAAACCAGTCTTTACTGACAATTTTTTCAATCAAATGCACTTGTGTAATACTAATATTGACTAAAAGTTTCTTTTTAGAGAGGAGGCGGGCAGTCGAACCAGCCTCGTGACTGAGGAGCTGTCAACATCTCCCAAGCCAAAGAAAAGTCACGTGCTCAAATCTTGAAAAAATTCTTCTCACTTTTATTTGCTTAAAGCAATGAACGTGTCAAAATCTAACCATTCTCGGTGTTCTAAAGGTATGGAAGCCTGAGAAGAGGTGGTAAACGAGCCTCGACCTACATTTGGTCTCTCTTTGCACTTGGGACCATAAATGAAATAATTTCCGGGTTTTTTATTATTTTATAGTAAGGACTTAAAGGCAATTCGCACGCAGAACTTGGAGCAGGTTTTTGAGTTTTTATCGCTATTAGAGTCCAAAATCCCTTATGTGACAAGTAAAAATCCAAAACGTAGGCACTGTTGCATCAAAGCATCCAGAATTCAAAGAAGTTGTTAATCACAAAAACGCTAAAATAATCGTGCAAGAACATTTGCATTTAAAATGTATATCTTGGTGTTTTATAATGTGTAAGACAGAAGGTGCCTTTTCAACTGAATAGGGCTTTATTGGGCTATAGCAAGAGACCTTGTGCATAAGTACAATTTCTGTTTGCGAATCAGGGATAGTAAAGAACAATGAGCATTGGCCCTAGGCGTTTTATTGCACGGGAGGTACCTACATGGAGAATGGCACGTGATGCTTTTTAACTAACTGAGCCTTAGGGGTGCTTAACTACGCCGTCCGTCTACCATGCCGCGGTTGTAATTTTCCTGGAATTTTTTGCATTTGGGTTATTAACGTCGCCAATGATTTCTGTAAGTTCTTTTCTAACTAATTCTGGCATCTATTCTGCAGGTTTTGGACGAAGCATTCCCAAAACACACCTTTTTGATGAATGGGTTAATCCAAGGCGTAAAGGGTTTTCTCTCCTTCCTCAGCGCTCCTCTTATAGGGGCGCTATCAGACATCTTCGGCAGGAAACCCTTCCTTTTTCTGACAGTCACTTTTACGTGTTCTCCAATTCCTTTTATAAAATTGAGCCACTGGTGGTATTTCACAATGATTAGTATTTCGGGAATATTTTCCGTCACCTTCTCTGTCATTCTGGCGTTCGTTTCTGATGTTACCACGGTGGAGAACAGGACTTGGGCTTACGGACTTGTAAGCTAGTATTCATTTTGCCTACTTTCATTTTTTAATGTTCCTAATGGAAATTAAACTATTTTCTGGTGGTAACATTATATGGAATCTTTCGCATTTTCCCCTTATTTACCAGGCAATTTCTTCTCCTGTTGAGTAATTAGCTAAATCAGGTCGTGTTATTTACTAATGTTAGTTGTATTATCAAAGTATCAAATATATGTTAACATGAGTTAAACTTCAAAACTTAATGTGTATTCAATTAGTTTTCTTCTAGTCTTCTTTTCTAGCTAAATGCTTCACAACCCTTAGTAACGTCAAACTTAGCTCCGAACTTTACAAAATTACCTATTTTTCAAGCCCATGGTTATCTGACTGCCAATATTTTACCAACCTGATTAAAAATAGAGGGTTTGTAAGCAGTAGAGGAAGTGGGGTGAGGTAGTTTCTTCCTCCGATTGATGCATGAGTCTTCATGGACTGATTAGACTGCCATTTATCCAACTAATCAATTTCTCTTCAAAATTGTCAGATCGAGAATGAATTTGGTTTTTTGGAACTAGTTAATTAAACCGTTCCCCAGTTTTCGTTCAACGGATTTAATTAGGTTTGACAAGTAAACTCGAGTGCAGTTTTTATTTTGTAAAGCCATTGGTTATCTTAAATAGCAGGCCGAATCTTATTTTGTAGAATTCAAGTCACGCATCTTAATTTCTTCGACTTGATGAGCGACGACTTTTGTGGGTTTATAACAGTCCAGCTCTGATAGTTGTAGGTTAGTAAATACTCTGGGGAATTTCTTAATAAATGACCCCACCCGAGAATCTTGATCGCATATTCTCATTCTCAATTGCATTCTTGTAAAAACGAAGGCGGGAATTCTAATATTTTCCATGTCATACGAAAAGTACGTCCATTGTTTTTGTCCTGTAGACCCAGTAGGTAGATCGTATGATATTTTTTGCTCTCCCTGAAATTTCAAGAAAAAAGTTTCATTCGTTATGGATTTTTCTCTGCAAACCTTGAATTAATAAAGCCTTATTGTATCCGTTGGACGAATCACATGACCATTGACCCATATTCTGTGACTTCGATAAGAGGGTTCCAAACGGTAGTTGAAACTTGGTTTTTCCTCCTCATTGTTGTTTTTTCAGGTTTCTGCAACCTTTGCAGCCAGCCTCATCATTTCGCCTTCCTTAGGCGCCTTCCTGGAGAAAGCATACAGTGAAAGCTTCGTCATCACTCTGGCATCCCTCATAGCCCTCTCCGATGTTCTCTTTGTTCTCTTCTGCGTCCCCGAGTCTCTCGATAGCTGCGCCAACAGCAGTGGCGGTGGCGGCTACGGATGCGGTAGCTGCGCCTCCTGTGGAGCTGTGAAACGTATTTCTCTCGCGGCACCGCCCTCCCCCTCTAGTCAATCAGTTTGCGTAAATTCCAGTGAACAGCCCACTGTGGAGCGAAGCTGGCCCATCACCTGGGACAAGGTGGATCCATTTGGCGTGAGTGTCGTTGCCTTCAATTGCTGGAATACATGCGTAGATTTTAATCCATTCTTAGAGCTAAGTTCTTTACACAATTTGATCATTCAGGGGTTGGCGTAGGCTTTTGTTTCTAAGTTCACCTTCTAGCCTCATTATTATTAAAGAGAAAAGGAGGTAGGAAGGTGAATTTTAACCTTTTGAGGCACTTTTTTGTCAGCAACTTAGGCGTGACTGTTGACAGCGCGAAACTGACGCCTTCAGCATGAGTTAGCTCCTAGCATCTCTTCTTTCGTTTGAATTCATGCTGATGAATTTTCCTTTCTTGGAAGGCTTTTTGGTTGAAAGTACATCACTCTTCCTAATGATACCATTATGAATAACACCAGTTCTTTGGGCTTGTAAGATTCACATCTCAAATATTTTCTTTGGTTTTTGAATCCCTTCTTTGATTTGATTGCGCGTGAATGGTTGGTGGTCTTTTAAGGAAGATTTTTGATGTAAATAGATTTCTTTTCTAAATTTCAACCTCCGTCATTTCTTTAGGCTGGGGGAGTTTGAGACCATCTTTTGGGAGTGAATTTTGGCTCCCAGGGCCTCTTCTTTGGTATGAGTGAGCAAGAGCGAATTTCAACTTTCCGTGGGATCAGTTTCGAGTTTTGTCGCTTTAAACCACCATCCCATTGTCCAAATACATCTCCATAGATTTCAACCGGTTCTTTTGAGCTGTTTTTTTGCATACTTTGCCAACCCTTTGCTACCTTCGTTTTGTTTCTGTGGTCGATTTTGTCGTAGATCTTTCACCTTTATTGAACCATTGTGAATAGCGTGAGTCTTTCAGGTTCACCAGATTGCCAGTTTAAACAGGATTTTTGAGCTTACAAACCTCTAATTTAAATTTAAATGACTAATTTTGTAAAAAATCGGTATTGTTTAACAAACATTTCTCACTTTCAGTGCATCGAGCCGTAAGGCGGCCTCTCTTAGCGTTGGTTTTAAATCCTAACGTACCTTGATTTGAATTTACATGGGTAAACTTCATATTTTCGGAGAACCAATTCAGATGAAATTAAGGCAAACCTTTCTGGGTGTAACCTGGTCCATTGCAGAACTTGAAACTTGGCTTTTTAACATTTCGCTGCGTAAATTCATATTGAGCGAATTTCGACTTCTGAAGAATCGCTTGTATCGAAATGGATCGGCTCTTTTTTAGTTCTTGTGTTGAGATTTCGCTAATCTATCAAGAGTACGCAATAAGAAACTCGCCACAGCTTCCGCTTTTGGATTCGTGTATACTCATTTAAAATATCATCGTCAAATGTCCGTCACGGAAAAAATTTCGTGTTCGAGAGCTTGCAAGTTTTGAAGGGCTTAATGCCCTCTTCCTTAGAAGTGAATTCCTCATCTCAACGCCCTCTTTCCCCGCCGTTTTCGCATGCGAATTTTGCCTCCATCCCTGAGTCAGCTGTGTCAGAAACGGCCCACCACGTTTTTGGTGCCACAAGCAACATCCCATTAACCCCTCAGGAGTATGTATGGTTATCTCCTTTGCCATGACCTTAGTTTCTAAAGTCACCTGCCTCGAGCGAATTCTAACGAGATCAAGTGACTGATTTTAACAAAGTTGGTGTATTCCTCTCCAAAAAGGGTTTTTGGAAGTTAGTGGGCCACATAGAGATTATATTTCAGCTCAGCGAGAACTACGTGCATCCAAGTCATCCTCTTTTTTATCAATTTTGTGTTTAAATTTCAGTCCTTCTGTTCCTCTTTTTGAGCCCAGCTTTCCTAAATTCATCTCTCCCTAACTTTCCTGCATACTCAACCTTAGTAAGAGCTAAATCTAATTTTAAAATTTCAATTCAACTTCTGTTTTTTTTTTTTAAACTAAAGAAATGAGAACATTTTAGGCCCTGGAAACTGAATCTAACTTCTAATTGGATTCTCCACGATCTCCACTCTGCTGTGTCTGAATAAAACCTTGTTTCTTGCTCAAAGAATGTTATATTTCAGTGCCCTTTGGCCATTTTCAATGTTTCCATATTCCTTCTGTTGGAAATACTTCTCAGAATCAGCGTCCATTGGAAGATCACAAATCGTTTTGGGGGAGAATATTGGTCTTGGGTTCCATATCTCAAGGATTTACAAGGATTTTCCACTAGACATGTTTGTTAATCCAAAATATGAACATTTCTTGATTGGAAACCGTTAGACCTCCAGCCAAGTAAACTGTAATTTTCCTCGAAGCCGTATCGCGTCCATCAACAGCCGGTTACGGCGCCCTGAAATAGTTTCACTTGGGTGTTTATGCATAAAATTCATCGGGTTTTCAACAGCACCCACCATCGAACCCGATTCAATCTAAACAAATCATGAGGGTTACGTTACCATCTTTGAAGAACGGATGAATATTGGAAGGAAGTTAACTTTACAAGTGGATGATCCGTCACCCTGATGTTCCCCGGATTCTGGATTGTCAACCCGTAACCTTATCAAATGTTGGCGCTAAATCACATGCTATCGTTTTGAACCGCCTCATAGGTCATTTGTTTTCAAGAAAGATATCTTTAAGATCATTATTCGAACATAATCTGCATTAATTAACCAGATCCTCGACGCATTAGCCATTCGTTTCATTTTCCGATCTGCTATCTGCAGTGTTACCTTGACTCCTTGAAAATACAAGTGGTGATCAAGCCAAACTAAAACTTGATTTTATAAAAGAATTTCGACGCAGTGTTCAGCTATTACTTGAGGGGCTTCGGCCAACTGTTTGAAGTCTCATTAAGGCTTCACGCCTTTCGTTCATGCACGACATTGCATAAAGGCGGACTGTCACTGTTGTCCCCCTACCTCGTCTTGATCGAAGGCATTTGGTCGGACTGAACGAACCCCTGACATCCACTCCGACCAATAATTTACAAAAGAACGTCCTTGACACATTACTAATCCGTGTGTTGTTGTCATGATGGTATGCTTGTTTAGATATTAAAAATTAAGAGTTTCGGTCTGAATTAAACGAACTTTGTTAATGCCCATTTTTACTCATCTTTGGTAAGGATACTGTCTCTTAATGTGAAATGTTTCAGTGTACTTATGTAAAGTACCTATGATGGGGAATTTGCGTGGAATTTTTTGCCCCTCCTTTTCTCTGAGAGCTATTAAATGAATTATTTGCGAAATAGAGGCAACGGAGGTTTCCACACCCAAATGATACGTGAAATTGGGGTAATGAAATAAAATCAGCAGGACATTTCCATTATCCATGTCACCATCACTTTTTGTACTTTAAATTGTTTTGCTTGCAAATCAGATTCATTCACATGAGTGAAAGGTATGCTCACGTGCATGGACCGAAATAGGCGTCTCTAAGTTATCTGCTCATGCCAGTTGACAGCTGATGTTAGCACTTTCTGTGACTACCTGAGTCACATGTTTGTTTGCCTGTGAAAGTCCCCACTTTCTTTTCCCTACGTGGCAATCCCATCTACTGCTGTGTGCGTGCAGGCGAAATCCTTTAGGGTCACGTTTTTATTTGACCCACCTTGCATTCACTTTATCTATTCTCTATACTTTTTTTGGTAGTAGTAGCGGTGTTTCTTCTATATCGATGCTGATATTGTTATTCTTCCTCATCGGTGCTTCTTTGAAAGTGGGTGTGAATCACCACGAGTTGTTAATTCCTTGCCCACTACTCCACTTGAATCCTCCCTTTTCTATGGGAGGCTGCACTGCCTCAGATTATTTGTTGGCGCAGTTGCTGTCTTTGGGGATCACAATTGAAACTGTGATTTCACAATGAAGTAGTTCGACAACTAAATGAAAGTCGTTGATGGGAAATTACCCAAATCACGAATGAATAATGGTATCATATGGACTTTTTTGAAGTCCTACTACGGTAAAAGGAGCACAACAGATTTCTTCATCCGAAAGAACGAATTGCCTCGACTGTTTTTGTAAAACCACTACATCACCCTAGTTATTCCGACGCTTTATCAAACTCGGTATGGTGATTCTATGAAAATCTTTGTCCTCTGCAAAGTCATTAGAATTGTAAAAATTAACGGTAATGCTGGCTTTACACTGGTTATCTCTAGAGCGTTTTTTTAAACTGTGATTGAATTTGAGGTGGGTTGATAACCAAAGTCAGGTGATAGTGGTTTTATAAAGTATTTTACTGCTGGAATATAGAAAAATTAGTTGAACTCTGCCTGACCTCCATGCTCAAGATGTGTTGGTGAGAGTTTTTTCAAGTTGACTTTATCAATTCTATCTCAGTTCTCAAAGCGTAGTTGGAATCTTTTGGCTGTTCTAAAAGTGCAGATGATTAAGCTTTTGATACAGAATCGGCCTAACAACTCATCCATGCTGCATAGAGGGTGAAGTAGGACCAGAGGGTCGAGTCAGAATGACTATCAAAAGAGAAATGACTGTCAAAAAAAGAGAAACCGGAGATAAATTAAACGCAAATAACTTGTCGATTGCTTCCTGCTTCTTCCTGACTGAGCACTGGCAAGGATGCTTTCATTTGAAGGTCAAGGCGGTTTTCGATGCTGATGGAGGTGGTGAGGCCATTTCGGGAAGTTTTGATCGTGTACTAACAATAGAAAGTCTACAGCAACTTGCTAAAAGTGGAAGCAGCTCATTGGTAAAAGCAGTTATGGAAGTACGATATTTTTCTGACTAAGCCCGTTACTTACCCTATGAACTTATTTCATCTGGAGTTTAGCAGTTGGTAATTGCGTAAAATCTTGCCAATGTGTTGCTTGAGTCATACCTGAAGCCGTTATGTGACTTATGCGTCTAAATGCGACTCCATTATCACAACATGCTGAGGAGTTAAAAACCAACGTCATGGTGTGAATGGGGCTCCATGCTACCATCGTGAAGGCCGTGGGTATGTGAAACTGAAAATATTTTTACAATTCCGCGTGCGCAAAACAAGTATCATTTCAGACTAGGGGTTTTCAGCTCAGACCGACACTATTTGTCTCATCATTGGGTGGCCGGCTTGCTCATGATCAAAAGCATGATTTCCAAACCATCGACCACGTTCACTACGGAGGTGAAGTCCTGGGGGATGACTCTTCTCGTCGATGTATTGAGCTTCCTAGAACACTGCAAAATTTCTCTTCATTGTCGAAAGTGTGAAGTGCTGTTGACAACGAGGCACACTCACGCCAACCCTTAATACCTAGGCAAAAATGAAGCGCTACCTTGGTATTTTGGAAATTTAGTGATTTATTGCACCCATCTCGAAGCCTGTGATTTTTCACCTCGCCTCGTGGTTTCAATCTTGAGGTGTAATGAGGGCAGAGCTATTTCATTCAAAATTGATAATAATTAGCCACTACAAACAACTTAACTCCGCGTCTACTTTTCTGGCCTGAAAAAGTCAAAATTCGAAATGTGCATTTATAGCAATCACAAAGTAGAGATCAATCAAGGTGAAATATCGCTTGATTCATTGCATGCACTGAAATTTATCACTCCGTCATTTTCATGAGTAAATTATCGCTTTCTCTTGCTTTGCAGCAAAGGTTCCTGAAGAGGGTGGTTGTCTCAGTTCCCCTTCATCGCGAAATATCTGAACGCTTTGCAATCCCTTCAGCAACGGTAGTGGTAGCGTCATTTGGATTCACTGGCTTTGTGACATACACTAGGGCGTGCGCGCTTGTCTACGTGTGTCATGCCATGGAGTCACAAGTGTTTGAACTACTGTGACGCAGCTTTTCGGTAGCATGCCACACGCCCTCATCTACCACCGCTCGCAAAATAGAGCTTTTCTTTCATGAGGTGTATTGCAAGAGGTGTAGTGATGCTGAAAGAGATAGGACTGAGGATAAGGCACTTATTTATCCAGCCTTGGAATCAGTTCTCGGTGGGGTCCGCTTTACCTATTAGGAAGTGAAACAGATCCATACTTTGCATATCCTCTTGGATTGTCTTAGTTTTTAATCCTCATAGCTAATAAACTCGTGGAATATCTTCCGAATCTGAGCTGAAAATTGTGCTATCACCCTTTTCCTCATCCTTTGTATTCCCTGTATCAAATTCCATCCAGTGATTATTCCATTTTTATGCCAATCACAATCATTAAAGCAGTAAAACTGAGGTGAAAATGAAAGTGGCTGAGACAAGATTATTTGTTTCTAGCGAAAAGCATTTTCATGGAAGTGTGGACTTCACTGCAAGTATGTCTTGTTGGATAAGGATTTGAGTACAGATCCAAAATGTGGTTATTTCAACGAATGAATTTTACATTTAAAGTTTCTTACATCTATTTGATTGTTATCACAAAAACTGCATGGCCTTATTCAATTGCCTCATATTTTAAATTCGGATCTTTAATACAAGTTAGGTTAATTTTGCTGATTTCATTTGATCACGATACAGGTCAGGGTGAATGAAAAGTAATTGTTGAATCTCGCGCATATTCGAGTCTACATTCATGTTCATTCGACTATATGTACATTATGGCAAATGAGCGATTGCTATGGCCAGCAATTCATTCCGCATAAAGCGCCTTTTTTTGTCCCTTTTTGAATCCTTCATTAGTGCAGAGGACGCATATTTCAAGTCGTTTCTCCCGTGACTACGGATGAGTTTTTGAATTGGTGTAATTGCGTTCTGATACGTCAACATTATACTTATCGGATGGAGGGATGGATGGAAAAGAAGGGCACGTGGGAGGATATTTGTGAAATGTCGAATGAATAAATGGTTGAACAGTTGAGAGGCCTGGATAGGTTGATAGCTGAAAGGCCAAATAGTGAAAAGGACAAGCGTTCGGATAGATGCGTGATTTGATTCCTGAGTGACAAGACGGGAGAATCGTTGGATGCCTAAATAGATCAAAAGTGGTCAAAGAATGGAGGGACAATACTTCGCTATAGTGTTGAATTAATTATTGAATCACCTCCCCTAACTGCTCACTTTTGCCTCGAACATCAGGCCCTGCGTCACATCAGTCGGGGTCGTCTTACGCTCTTGGTCTGTTTGACAACCTTTCTCTCCTACCTACCCGAAGCTGGGGAATACTCCTGTTTCTTCGTGTATCTCCGATTGGTAAGTCTACTTTCTCTTTCCATAACTATGATTGGTGACACTAATAGACTTTCATCACCATTCCTTACCTTTCCGTAGCGATTGTGTCACTCCCGAAGACTTCTTAAGAGCTGCTAAAAGCAAGAATGTAATCATAGCCAATTCTGCCACGGTATATTTCTACACAACCCTATATTAACTCTCTAAGAGGATAAAAATACACACTGCTTGGATTTTTGAGGCTCCCAGTTTCGGAAACAGAAATGGGGTACTTTGCTTACCTTTGAGAATTGCGGTCTAACATATGCTGCGCTGGAGTAAGATATAAGGCAATCAAATAAATTGGAGCTGATTTTTAATGCGAGAAGATTAAATAACTTCCGAAATTTCTCTCAGTTACTTTATTTGGTGAAATTGTAGTTTTTTATCAAGACACAAATTTGTGTTGAACTTCACTTCCATCTCGCTTTTTTCAGATTGAAAGTGGAAGTTATTGTGAACCTTTCATGTCCAATCCGAACTTTTAATTTTGTACAAAATAAAAACAAATTTCGAGGATTCCAAACGACACTTTTATCTTGAGAGCTGCGACAATGAGATATTCATTCGTATGGATGAACCAACCTAGTATAGCCAGCGTCATTTTGTAATCAGGTATAAAATGTTTTTGGAATTAAAGTAGGTGGAAATAACTCGAAGTGAGATCCGAGCTGTAAGCAGGATGCGGGGAAATTTCGCGGCCTAACCTACTGTAATGTCCGCAAGGTTTCCAGAGCGGTGTGAGCTCGTAAGTTGTTCTGAAGCAGCAGGAAAGCAAATGATGGGTACGCATACCACGCACCACCCGTAATGTCACTGTTGATAGTGGGACTATAGGGTAAAAATTCTCCTGAATAACCTCTAGTCTGTTGCAGAAGGCATTTAATAGAGCAGCTTTGATTGGTTTTACCTTAGTCAAAACTCATGATTCCGCTATGTAGGCTTTCATTCACATTATTATGGGACTTTTGAATGCGGGTAATTAACCATCTTACCTTTTGCGTGGTAGGTGTGACCCATCATTTATCTCAGTCTCCTTTTCTGCCTTTTCTTGTCATGTTACCTCAAATGTTGCGTGTTTCTACTGCATAACATTTTCCTTCCAGGTGATCGGATTCAGCGAGGAGAACGTGGCTCTCTTCATTGCAATCTGTGGTCTCTTCTCGTGCATTGCTCAGGTTAGTTGATCTGCGGCAATGAAACATTACTTACGATACTTAATTTGTTTGCGGGTCGTCAAACCCACGTAATGATGTTGGTCTTCAAAACTGTGATCGGTGTCGGTGATCATGTGGGAGCGCTCCGTACCAGCATTCTTTCCTTATGTGTGCGCTGTCACCGAGTTGATTATACTTTGGCATTAACTGAAGTCTTCCTTCCATGTACACTTTTTTTCGGCTGGAAAGGAGGTTCGTAGAGGTGCAGCGCTTTAACCACTCATGCGTAGACCACATTCTCATAAGGGGCTGATTCATTAGAAGTGCTAGGAAAACTGGCGTCAACCTTGCCTTTTTAAGGGCTTTACTGCCATGAGGACTATGTTACTATCTCACTTTATTACTAAAGGATTTAAAACTGTATATGTTTATTCTTTTAACACATAAAAATTAGCCTATAGGGTGAGGTTTGAAAAGCAGCTGGAAGTGGTTTTGTCTCCGGTTTTTCTCCACTAAAGTGTTCCTTTTAGAAAGTCAAGCTGGCAACAAGAACCACCAACTCACCGTTTTATGCAAAAGTTGGTTTTTTACATGATAAACATGGTCCTTTTAATAGAAAATTTTGCATTTGATTGGTCGTTGTCATAATTACAGCCCATCATGACCTTTATCACACTATTAGTGCTTCTTCTATCCTCTCAGCTCTTCTGTACATCAAAAATGCGTTATTTCTATTACTGTGGTCTGTCTCTTCAGTTTAGTTTAGCTGACCAGTAAAATGTGATTTGCTGTGCTTGTACCTCATTTAAAAAGATCCTCTCGTTTCTGTGCTCTTGTGTTCTCGTGTTCCATTGGCTTCCCTCCAGAACGTACTTGTGTTTACCGTGTGTCTAGACTTTTGATGGTAAATTCAGGCCTAACCGCCGCTGCGCACCATTATACGCAACATTCCTAGTTTTTATTCCGGTCGCTTAGTTTTTTGTATCCGTCACCCTTCCTTATCAAAATAAACTTGCTTCTAATTCCACCTTTAATAAGCGATTTTATCGCTTAAAGCAAACACTCACTCCATCCGCCTTCTTTTCTGTGGCGTTTTCTTCCCAACCGTTTATCTTGCATTTGGTTGTTCAGCGCCAAGAAAAGTGGCAATCGGGTGGGTAGTTTTAGGCAGTAGCGATGGTTAAGCTTTCACGGGGTGAAAAATTTCTCCCATTTGTCACATACAAGGATGGTGGGAATTAAACTGCATCCTAGAATTGTGAGGTAGTGAACGGATTGGTAAAAATTTTCGTCCCATTATCACAAAGCGCTCAGTCAGCAAACTCCTTCAAACGCAACGCATTTTCTGCAATAATCGAAGATGTGAAGAACAACAAAATGATATTCCGATTTCTTTACACTTTTCTTTGGTGCACGGCATGAGGCGCCCATTTAGTCAACTTCCCCTTCTCCCAGCTGGCGTAAATGTCAAAGAATTGTAGCATTACTTACGTTAGAAGGCTGCTGGAAGTTGGCCTTCATTTTTGTTTAATGGATTGGAACATACCTCCTCATTCGTGGGAATAGAGGGTCCTTCACAGCACAATGTGTCACCACTCTTTGAGTCATTCTCCCTTCGAATTACATCATTTAGTGAAACAATCTAGTTGTGGGTAGTACGTTGTTCCGTCATCGTGCACCGCATCTTCACCAAATACCATACGAAACGTGTGACAAGGAACTTCTGTGTCTTCGTGGTTGAGTTTACTTCGTTTCATGAACCTGACAAGCTCAAATCACATCCATTACATTCATTCAACCGAAATGTTATGGCGTGGGGATTGAAAATGGCTTTATGTGCTTTATAATAAATTAATTTAGCAATTCCGAGAATCCATCGTATCGAACTATGCTGAAAGTTTTGCGAAATCTGGGACCGCCTAATAAGAAGCTGGACCCCTTGAATCGGAATTCTACACCTACATTTCAAGAGCTGAAATCTTAAACCGACTTAACTGGTAAATGGAGCTTGCGAACCATTTTCGAGTAAAAAAAACAACTGTTTAAAAATGGGATTTCGTTATTGTTGTATGGGCGGAATGAAAGGTGTCCACCTGGGAGGCACGAGGTGGAGTCATGCTCCGAATTAGTCACCTCGTTTCCTCCTTTGTTGAAAATAGAACCCTCTTCCTGTGCTGGCCGCAAGACCCTTTTAACGGTTTTGGGTGTGCCTAATGCACACCCTCTTAGCTCCCTTTGTGAATCCAATGTGATGCATGCTAAATTCACACATTGATAGGGCATGTCAATCTTGTTTCTAAATTAGCTTGCCATGATGGGGGGAGGGAGGCTAACCCGAACAGCAACGAACTGATAATGAGAGATGGTGAAAACGGGTACCCGTCTCTTCTATCAAGCATGAATTAACGGCATTAGGTCCAACACCCCGGAAAACTTTCTAAGGTACTTAGCTCTGAAATTATCCATGACATAAATGTACAGAGTGGTTATTACGATGCTTGGTAACTGGATTTTACCAACCCCGCTACTTAAAAGTTTGGCCTACCGAAGAGATTTGTCTTTTTGAGGCTTCTCCTTCTTTGTGAACATCTACTGTAATCAGTTGGACGAATGGATTAAAGAGTATTTGCGTTTAATATGTAGCGATTAATTGTCAAGATCATTCATTGCTGCAAATAGCATTGTTAAAGTAGCTGACGGAAGCTGGGCTTTGAAAATAGACCACATTGAACCAACTGGGTATCCCTTTTACTCCACAATTTTTTATTGGTTTAAGGACGCGTTTTTTCAGTAGTAAAACAGGGATCTGATGCTTCCTTCTCCCAATGCTTCCTTATAGACCTGCGGCCTGGGCCTGCTGATCTCGTGCCTGGGGGCGAAGCATGCGATCATCGTGGGGCTGGCCTTTGAGGCCTGCCAACTAGCCATGTTCGGTTTCTTCAGCTCCGCGTGGATTCTTTGGTTAGCGGGCTGTGTGGCGGGCCTCGGAAGCATCACCTATCCCGCCCTCTCCGCCTTCCTCTCCAACCACGTCAAGGCTGATCAGCAGGGGCTCACTCAGGCACGTTTTATCTCCTCTCACTAACTCCTTTTTCTTCCTACCCACCGTTTATTCGCCTATTTATTTGCGATCTATTTATTTACACATCCTATGTCCCTGGGTCTGCCATTTCTTCCGTCTTTTCAATTCTCTGCATTATTTTTTTGCATTCGCCACGTTACCTGCTTATCGAACGCTCATAAGAAAGTGATTCTTATTGAATAGAACTGATGCAGCGTCAACGCTTTTTAGTGGGTGCATATTCTTAAATTGCCTTATCTGGATAGATTGTTGTAATACCTGGTTTTATTGTACCCACTCTTATATTGTTTCATCATTGATGGTTTTTTACAGCCAAGGTATATTTGTTTTTTTCGGTACAATTTCAACTGGAATATTGGCTTTCTATTGAAAGCACTCACTTTCTATTGTTTTGTGACTGCCGATTTGTCTGCCTATCCTCCTTCGCCTATTTGTAGAAAACATTGCTCTTGTTTTGAATGAAAGGGTAGAATTGCTGCACTTTGCTCAGCAAACCATGTTCTAGATGTATTTCTCGGTGTTTACTGGGAGGGATGTATTAGCGTCTAATCGAGAATTTCGCGAATATCAGTATCGTCAGTTTATTTGACAAGTAGAACTAGACCATTTTCCTAGACCAACATGGGAAATCTAAATTAATTTTGAAGAATTGGTTAACATGAGGATATTCCCCTATGTTCTCTCTTAAGGTACTTAAGTGCATTGATTCTGATTGAGTGTGGAAAGTTGTACTTTATTTCTCTTTGAAGATTGTAAAAGGTGAAGGGGTTCACAAGTAATTACTATGCTAGGCAGTACGAGTGGTATTTACGCTCCCTTTGTCAAACTGTCTTAGTTACCTAAATGGAGGTGAACCGTGAATAACTTCCCCATCGCATTAAAATGACAACGTCGTGTGTGTTTACGTTTGGTTACATGTGTAAATGTTATAAAGAGTGATCGTCATGTTGGTGAAAACCAAATTCACATGGAATGTGGCCTTCGTCTCGACTTAAGCACCCCTCTTCACTGACCATTTAACGCTGAAACTACATTTAAAATGAGAATGACGGAAATTCTCAATAGCAGTAATGACGGCTTTGTCCTTTCATTTATATGGAGTCTTGTGCGAGTGTCGAAGAATTTATGCTGTCCGACAATAAATGTGTTTGCAACTTTTAGTTATTTAAATTAATTTGTGATGTTTTGGCCGTCATTGTCCTTTCTTGTTGAGTTCTGGCATCAATTCTTCCAACCTTTGTCTGAGGTATGCTTATGTGTACGATGTAACTCGCCTCAATAAGTTGTCATAACCTGTCAAATGTATGCGATTGTTTATAGTCTGGCTAGATGTTTAGCATTTCATCGGTACGGTGCTCTTTGTTGTGCTGTCCACTTTCCTTCTGTTTTCAACTTCCACACCATAAAATTCCGGTTGAATGAAAGTGATGGATGTGATTTGAGCTTGTCGGATTCATAAAACGAATTAATCTTAACCGCGAAGACACAGAAGTTCCTTGTCACACGTTTCGTATGGTATTTGGTGAAGATGCGGTGCGCGATGACGGAACAACGTACTACCCACAACTAGATTGTTTCACTAAATGATGTAATTCGAAGGGAGAATGACTCAAAGAGTGGTGACATATTGCGCTGTGAAGGACCCTCTATTCCCACGAATGAGGAGGTATGTTCCAATCTATTAAACAAAAATGAAGGCCAACTTTCAGCAGCCTTCTAACGTAAGTAATGCTACAATTCTTTGACATCCATACCAACTGACAGCAGATTGTTAATCCAATAGACGTACCATTTATTGTATTCAAACGATTCACTATCCACACCACCCACTCCACACTTCTAACACAGGTGCCACTTTATATTGCTGAAAAACATGCGTGCTTTCTGTGTGTGGTTGAGTGCAAACGGTAGTGTTTGCTATGATTGGTTTTTTTGAAGACCAAACATCATTTCCTTCTGAGACCTATTTTCTTGATAGGGTGCGATTCGAAGGCGAGCTGTTGGGGGAAAGTCCGTGCCTCATACCTTATATCACTGCAAAACTTATCCATGAGGAGACTTGAGCTTTAGGATGGGATAGAAGGTAGACATTGCCTTGTCGTCGTCCTCACATTCTGTCTCCCTAGGTGCTTCTTGGCATTAGACATTCGCAGGATCACATGCGAAGCAAAAGCGAGGAATGGGATCGAGATTGCTAGACCTCATTTGTTTCTTGGCTTATGGAGACGAAAAGGTGTCTTGTTGGGAAAGGATTACGCATAGCCTTTAGGGAATTTTTTCTAATGAATCTTGTATTTTAAGTTTTCTTCTTTTTCACCCCTCTAATAATTTTCTACCTTGTTGCCTTATCATCTGAAAAATTAATTCGACTTGTGCTTATCTCCTGAGGTTGTTAATTTGTCGGGAAAATCTAATTTTACTGTGAAAATACTTTCCGGTGCCATTAAGTTCATTTAAGATCATATTGGATGAATTGGCTTCCCATCGAAAAGTCCCATTACTTTTGCTTTACTCCCTGAAAAGTATCCTGAGGTGACTTGGGGAAAATCGAATTTTGCTAACTACTTTCCCTTTTTCTGTAAATTTAAAACTCTGCGTCAAATTTCAAAATTTTCTAGATAAATTGCTTTCAAAATCCCACTTTGTTTAAGCATGGATTGGACTTTACATGATATGTATGACTTTGAGTGCCGTTTCGTCTAAATACATGAAATTTCGATGATACGATTTATTCCAAAGTATTGTTTTATTTGTGGTCGTAAGCGTAGAATTGTTGTAAAGTAGTGTGTGCGTAGATTTGGATCCTGGCTAGTTTACAACCATTACAATCAGGCGACGAATCTTTCAATACGGACGCCTTTGCCGTCGAGCACGACGTATGCCTGCACGAATGCTGTGGACAGAGAGGGTGATTCTATTTCCGCATATTAGTAGTATTGTAAGACGAGCCTCGTAGATCTCCTCTTTCCTTCATGTTTATTAGATAAAAAGAATGGGGAGAGTGGGTACAAATTCAGGGAGGTTTTGACACGGAACCTTTCTGCAGGCTGCGGGACGTTGACCCTTCCTCAGTCACGGGCTTCGATTAGTATGCCCCCCTCCTTTCTGAAATGAACATTTAAACAACATGAGTATCGCAATGTCTACATTGGCCTTACTAGACCTCGCTTTAGGGGTGATTATTAGCCTGCATGAAGCCTCTCAGTAAGTGGCGTTGTTTAGTCAGGAGAATTGAATGAGATCGTGAGTTCCAAGACATCTTAAAGGGTAGTTTACAGAGAATCGAAACATGAACGAGTTTTTGGAGTTGAAGACATCGTCAGCAAGGATATACTCTTGCCGACTGGTACAATGTAAGAGCAGTTAGAAATACTTGTTTGGGATCGCCCACCGATCACAGGAATCCTGATATATAAATACGGAGTTTCGAAAAGCTACGAACCTAGAAGTTTTAGTCTATCATGAGGTTTTTGTTAATAATGCCGCTATTTATGTGGTTCATCCTGACACAAGCCTAGCAGATCTGCCTCAAATTTAGCTTTGAAACACATAAAAACATATTGGTAAAGCTTAAATCACTTCATTTTGTCACCTTTTGAGTATTTGTCCTTAATTATTTAGCGAATTTTCCTGTAATAGATCAAAAAGACAAAGTGCTGTGATAAAAGGTTTTGACGGTGATCCAACCCAACCATAAGACAAAAGACATCGACCAATCGCGCAATGTGAATTCCTTAAATTTTAGTCGATCCACAAGTCAAATCGCTTACCCATATTAATTAACCGTAATTGTTGTATTTGATTTTCTATTTACCTTAAAAAACTTATCCTAGACATAAAGAAAATCAGCTCCTCCACCAAGGGCAGCTCAATTTCCCTCGCTATTTATTAATCACCACGACGCTCTGAACCAAGCATTTTTTTCGGTACCCACCTGTTTCTCATCATTTTGCGTCGTTTTTTTTTTGCAGGGTCTTCTCACTGGTATCCGCGGTCTTTGTGGAGGTCTTGGTCCTGCTGTCTATGGTTTCATTTTTTTTATCTTTCAGGTGAGGTGCTGCTTTTCTTCGTCCATGATTAAAGTGCTGCGAATGGTAAATATCCCAAAGAAGTCCTCTCTTCCGCTTTTGTTGAAATCACCTTTTTGGTTGGTAGGTATCGGGATGAAGTATTTGGTATTTTCAGGACGACTATAACGTGCCGAGTATGTCCAGTCTTTCAAAGAATTTCTGGCGTTTGCAAATTTTATTTTCCTGTTGGGCAACCGGTAATTGCCTAAAAGCCGGAAGATGGCCCAGTTTTGCCGTTTAAGGCCTTCTTTTAAGAATTCTTCTGTGTTTCTCATGCGTGCCAAAAGTTGTTAGGAATGATTTGCCTTTAAAAGGTGTCCCCTTCCTCTGTCTTTGTGTGCTTCCCTTTTCCACTGTTGTATGATCAATATGTATCGGGAATCATGAGATAACGGAGCGTTACGTCGTCGCTTGAGGCACCTTTCAATCTCTCCATTGTGGTTCTTGTGTGTTAGGAGGTATCGGAAGTGGTTCGTATCTTGAAGAAATTCCTCTTTTTCGTTTCTTTTTCTGTATTTTCTAACAGGCGACGCCCTATTGTCATTTAGCTGTGCCAGCTATCTTATAACTCCAATCAGACAGTGACTGTGATTCGTCATACAGATTGATACATCCCAGTGTCCGCAACTTCATTTATGGCTCTTTTTCGTTTTCGCGCCTGACTAAAAGTGTCAGCATTGTTTAATTTTAACAAGGGATTAAATTCTACCCATTCCTTTCAGAAATGTACTTCCGCAGCAATTCTTTTCAATAATGTTTCCCATCTTTTGCAGTTATTTTGATGCGGTGGTGTAATTTCTTCGCTTGTTATTGTATGCAAGTTTGTGGTTGCAGCTAGATAACTTTCCTGTGTTTTTATTTCTTCCTCGGGTACCTACAAATGTTCCTCTCAAGTGTTAAGGGATGAATAAATTACAGCTTTGTTCTGCTTTGTCCCAATGTTCCAGAACTTATTTTCCTTTTTTCCCTAACGGAACTCCAATCCTTCTTCATCACTGCCGCCTACTTTTGGTTAGCAACAGTATCGCTTTCTTTGTACTCTCAATTGAGTCTCCATGGTTTGGATCTCTGTCTTGGTAATATGTCATTTTTGTGAATGTCCGTAAATCTCTATTTGCAGCCATTTGCGTCTTCAGACGGTTTATAATACGAAATTGAAAAAATTCCGTGTTCTTTTTTCTTGGTTTTCTCGACTGCAGTGTTTTGCTTCAGCTTCCTAAGCTTGAGAAAAAGGCAAAATAGCCTAGCCTTAGCTAAATGAGACTATTCTTCCTAAGTTTTGACATAAAATCCAAATCCCTTGTCTAACTAAATCCACAACCCCCTTACTCCTATTGCATCTGTGTGGGCCCTTTTGAGACCTCTGCACTCCTTCTGTTTTGTTGTTTTTTGGGCAACCAGTTGTTCGTGGAGCTGTGTTGTGTGAATTTGCTCTAAACTATGGAATTTACGGTTCCCAATGCGCCTGTAATCTAATGTTATTCCCCTACTGCCAAGAAATTATAGCGCATTGCTTTCTGCATCCGCCGACTGAGGATTCGATCTTTTTTTATAGAACAAAGGATTTACTCAAATATTTCAATGAAATACGTCTAATTTACAGTTACGCTTCCTCATAGGCATGTTGACGTTTAGTTATCCCATCGAAGTCAACGGGGGAAAGTTGTGTTAATGGAGAGGAAGACCTTGGTCTACAGTACCATAGGCAGCCACATCGAAGTCACGCAAAGTTACTAGCACTGTTTTGTCTGCTCATCTGCGATCAGTGGAATATCTGAACGAGAGAAGTCAGCGTTGAACGAAGATGCTAGCAATCATGAAAGCATTTGGGTGATTCCCTCTTCTGTGATGACCTCATGTGGAGGTATGCACTAGTAAAAACTGGATTTCCAGGAATAAGTACGTTAATTTTAGCTACATTATCACAATGCGGATCGTCGATACTTTTGGTGGTTGGTAATGGTTCTGTGTAGCCATAATCGTGCCATTAACCTTATCCTCCTTTCAATTGTCCATCTTTGTAATCATTGACCTCACCATCGAGGCAGGATTGAAGATGATATTGTGATGAGTCAGCACTATATCCAAGCCTCCCAATATCGGTATCATCCACCAATGCATCTTGTTGACTTCGACGGGATAACCAAATATCCACATGCCTTTGAGGAAGTGCAACTGTAAATTGGACGTATTTCATTGGAATATTGAATAAATCACTTTTAGATTTCCCTATCCTGTTCATATTCATTGGAACTTTTTATGCCACCTGACCGCCATTCTGGGTATTTCCTAGTTTTCCACAACGCAGGAAAGATGTTAGAGCTCCACCTCTCACATTTTTGCCTATAGTATTTTTCACATACGTGCTTTTTCTATTTCACTAAAAGACGAATTTACTTCGTTCGATTACTAACTCGTGTGTTGGCCAAGAATGAAATAGTTGCCTAAATTGTCCATTTTTTGACAATGGTCGAGGATAGGGGAACTCAATCAGGTTACTTCTCAATATGCATTAGCCAAAGGGTAATTTAGGTTTTCTGCACAAACAGCTCGCGAGATCTATCCTGTCAGAGTCCAAACAATTGTAACTTAGTCCTCCTGTTTTCCTTGTCATCTGCCCAGGTGGACTTGAACTACCGGCCCTCGAACCAATCTCTTTTGGGCGGTTCTCTAGCATCGGGGCAAAATGAAGTGCTGTCGGGTGAGAACCAGACCTTCCAGAGTCAGTTGCAATTGCTTCATCGGGTATGGGTATGTGTTCTTCTATTTGAATCCAACGAATACTCTGTAATGCTTCTTCATTGAGTTAGCTGCTGTTTCAATAACACAAGTAGTCGTTCTATTAAAGTTATCGTTTCAGAAATACGGACGATAAGGCGTTATCTTAGCTTCCATGTCTGCAATAGAAGTAAGGTCGCTCCATGAAGCAGATGAGATGGAATTGCAGCAAAGTTTACCGCTCCAATACACTGGCATTATAATGCATACATATAAACAATTGCATGCCTTTGACTAGTCCGATACCGAAAACCTCATCAACTTTTGGTGATTCTTTCACCTGTCTCGAACAGAGGTATGATATCTCAAAGCTGAGATTACCAAATTCCTTTTCATAACAATCACTACAGACATTCATCCCGGGTCCACCCTTCGCATTCGGCGCATTTCTTGCCCTCTCAGCAATTCTGGTAGCCATCCTCATTCCGGACAACAACGCTTATCTTATCCTCCCCACCACTGCTTTCGGAACCCCTGCCTCCACCGCCAGCCCCGCTAATTTGCGTCATCTGAGTCACGGTATATCTTCAAACTCGGAGAGCAGCGCAAACCTCCTTCTGGCTTGCGAGGGAGAGGAGGTGGAGGGTTTTGGCGTCTCAAATCAGGAGGCGGAGTGTCCCTCCTCCAATTCCCATTTTATCGTATTTGCATCCAATACCACCGACAGAAGAAGGTGCGCCATTGTTTATTTTCCTTCATTATAAATTACAAATTATCGGGTGAGTTGATTAGTTTACTAAGATGGGTCGGTAAACAGGTGAATTAGTAAATATTTCAGTGGAAAGATAGATGAAAGAGTCGTTTAAAGGAAGGATGGGCAATGGAGTAATGGCTGAATATCTAGACGGATGGGCATATGGAAGAATGGTTGAACAGGTGACTGGAATGCTGAAAGGGTGGAGATATAGTAGAATTTGTCGATGGACGCTTGGATAGATAAATGTTTGAATCAGGGGGTACAGATGAATAGATAGGTGGGCTGTTGAACAGTTGGACATATGGTAGGGCTTGGACTGCTCATCAGATGGGCAGATGGGTGACCAGACATGAAAATAAGACGAATTCATTCACTAATGGAGATGTGTGTTTGGATGAAAGGTTGGAAAGATGCTTGAGTACATGGTTGGTTAGGAGTTTAGTTGGTAACTAATTCAACAAATAATTGAATAGACGAATAACTAAATGAACTGTAAATTTGTTAAAGGAAGAAGACAATCTATCTCACACTTTGTTGGACCATTCACAGACGCCTTCGAGACAATCGACACCACCGCCAACCCTCGGCCAGCAAGATTCCTCGCACTCAGCCCACACCGCCTCCCACCACCACTGCGCAAACATTCTTCCAGGCTCACACTAAGCTTGCAAACCCGCTGCTTCGAATGATCTCCAGTGGCTTTCGTCAGCGCCCTAACTCATTCCGGCCCCAATCCACTATCGCCACCTCCAGTTCCAACTTCTTTGGTGACCTGCAGACACGCGAAACGGAGGCTGCAGACCTGGCCAATTTTCGAGTGCCATGCAGAATCTCTGAAGGGGTCACTGGAGGTGGTGGTGGCAACGAACCTGAAGCTTTTTCTCTTCCGCAATCGTCAAACTTCGCCCCCTCTGGTGGCGGTTAGTCACTTCTCTTTGACGATGCATCGTAAATTTTGGTGAATCCTGCTCGTTTAGACCAAATTCGCAATATTGCAATGGTATTTTGGATGGTGATATCCGAGCTTCATGACACTAGTCTGGCTGCCGAATTACGGGGGACTTGAAAAGCCGTATAGCTATTTAAATTTTGAGCGTTATCCTAGTGTCTCCTTATAGTGGTTTTAGAGGAATTGAAATAAATTCTAAGATGATGGCAAAAATCCCTTAATTGACTTTCGTTACTGCGAAATTTTCACAGCGTTTGATGTCAAAAATGTTCGTACTTCTTTTCATTTCGTGTCTCTGTGGTTCCAACCGATTACGTCAAGCATCCTTAAATTCCCTTGTGAAGCGAGCGTATATAGCTGTTGCGCTCTGAGCCATTCCTGGCGACGAATTAAAGCGTATCAGCATGGAAAAGGTTTTATTATGACTACTCTACAGTGGGGTTGGGTAGCTACGGGCATGGGAAGAGCGCTGCATCGCGAAATCGCGAAAGTAGGAGCCCGCGCCGTTAATATTATCGCTAGATCACTTCCTTAAGGTATCCACAAATATATAAGTACGGTGTTCTTCTATCTTTTAGATTCTGCATCACATCATGGCGCCCATACACATTCTCCATCCCCTCAGTCGATGTAGAGGCTAGTCATTGGGCACTTTAAGGCGTTTAAATTGTTGTTGCATTTGAATGTGGCAGCAACAGCTGCGCATGTGTAACGATTTCACTCAGCCCCAACTTTGCCTGCCTGCCTGCTTTCCTCTCTTTCTACTTTCGGTACGTATACCTGTGTATCTACATCTCCCTCTCTCACCTTTATTCTGATTGGTTTTTGACTGCTATTAGCAGTGAATCAAAATTTTTTGTGTAATATAATGCAGCTTAATTATGAACTTCGGGCTTTATCTATCAAAACTTAATGCTTGGTACCAATTGAAAAACATCCTAATCTCATTTGAGTACGGTGAGAAACTTTTCGATCTTCTACATAGACATGAATTTCCGATCGTTGAAATGTAATTCTAGTAATCGAAAACCACCAATGCATCAAAATGCTTATTTGATAAGACAGCCAAAATTAAGTGCCTATACGCAAGACAGAAAATGATTGTGCAATTTTCGAAACTAGAAGGGGTCATGGGTGTTGGCAGTCAAATGAACCAGACGGGTGTGGTTTGAATTTGTGCTCTCTGGAGCGAGGTTAATTCGGTTACAAAGCTGCAAGAGCTTCTCGTGCAGCGTTTAAAGGGGGGCGTGATGTGTAGCAGAAGAACGTATCGCCTAGAAACGTTGTAAAAAAAATATGGGTTCATTGATGAATCACTGAAAGATTGATGTTGCACCGCTTTCAGGAAAATCCTCTCGAAAGAGGAGGAGGAGGAGGAGGAGGATGTTCTTGAAGCGGAATGATTTATCACTGTTGGTATTGACACGTGTGCTTACGACGAAGGAGTCAAGGGTGCCTTTCAGCAGTGCCCAACTTAAGTGAGGGAACAGTTAGTTGAAATGCGCATCAGCTGGGAGGGCGAAGTCTTGAGGGCTGTGCAAGTAGGCACTGACATGCCTTATCAACTGTAGACATCTGTACGATGTGGAATTGAGGTGGAAAGACTGCCAACTGGTTGTTGTTCACCTCTTTCAAGTGTGCTGTAAGAACGCGAGGTGCATTTCAGGCAGACGACTAGGTAGGACGTGATGAGACGTGGACGTTGCGTTGAAACGTTTTTGGGGCGAACGAACATGTCAGTGGTTATCCTCAAAAGGCGCACTACTCACATTCCTCACCCTCCACGTCAGAGGTTGACCTCACTCCATCCGCAGATAACGACGCCCTCTTTGTGTGTGTGTGTGTGTGTGTGTGTGTGCATGTATGTAGATGTTAAAATGGAGCAGCTGGGCGCCGTTGGTGGAGAAGCCTGCGATGATTCACACCAAAAGAATGAATTCCACCGCATTGCCAACAATGAAGCGAAACTAAAGTCCGCAGTGACCAAGCACCACACTCCAAATTTCTGATGCCTGAACAGAATGTCAAGGTTGAGTAAAGCAGAACCATGTCTAGGCGAAACTGCACAGTTATTAATCACATTTGGAGTCACATTATTTGTCCTACTGAAAACACTTTTTTCCTTAAAGGTGACTGACTCATGAAATGGTCTCACAACAAACCACTTTCCGTTCGTAATGGCTATTTTCCAAGTAAATTTGCATGGTGCCACGACAACAAATGGATTCCATCCAAATCACCTCAGTGCACAAATGTCACCGATTTTAGAAATTTTGGAGTTGTAATATCCCTTCCTATTTTTTACTCCATTCTACTGCATATTTGTGCTCGTTTCACCTGAAATGAAACCGTGAATCTCGTAGCTTTGCAGCTACTTTTTAAAGAGGGCATTGAATCTGATATTTCACTCATAAAACCCCTTACAGGTGCAGAAAAAAAGATTTTGTTGCCTTCTGACAATTAAGTCAATCACAAGGCAGATTTTTGGCGTTTAACTCAAAGATCGGCACTTAGCAAATCTAATCTGATGCCCCAAAATGTGGTACGATAAACTAACTGTCTCACTTTCACCCAGTCTCCATAATAATTGACGCGCTTATATCATCGAGGTAGATGTTTACTTTCGGCGATGCGAACTCTTGATGGGCCAATTCGGTGGTCACGTTCGCCAAATAACGGTACGTTCCTTTTTTTCACAGTGGGGACCAGACAAGAGCGATTTCATACCCAAAATTGGCAGTGCACGTATGTGATGATGGTGTTGACGCCAGGCTAACTGTCTTGGCATCAAAGACTTCAAGTAAATCAGACTGACAAGACATTCAGTCATTCGGCAATAGGACGTCTGAATGAATGCTGTAGGGGTTTCAAGGGCAACCTCTCGGCTGCGGAGGGCCCCAGCGAGCTGTTCCCAGCTCACAGCTTCTACGGTCACTCCTGTCAGTTAACAATCAACGCACGGGACTAAGTGGTTATCGAAATTGCAGTGACTTGAAAAAGTAGAACCGAGAGTAACCACTACACATTATTTTGCATATTGGTCAGTAACGGCGCGAGATAGTTCGGATAAACCAAAATCGTTCCTCGGGAAGGCACGAGCCGGCACAAAATATCCAATTAAACACGCTAATGTAGCAGAGGTGTTTTCATTCTTTTTAAGTGCCAAAACGTCATTAATAGGTCTTCGGTCACCATGGCAGCCACACGGTTCCGATCTGCTGATTGCTATTGTGTAACAAAATTCTTCAAACGGTAGACCAACAAGAAACTAGACACCAAGACCAAAATTTACTAATGTATGCAACAAAAAACTGGACTGTCGTAGCACTGGCTATGGCATTAGTTTAATGTTGAATACCAGTTAGAATTAAAACGCAAGTCAAGGCCGTCGAGTCCAAAAAATCCGTTTGATTTACGCCATTCCCGAGTATGGAGGATGTTTGCTTAATTAATGCATCGAGTGTATGTTGAATGATCTAACAGAAAGCTTATTTGGTGGCCTGGATCACCATGTGACTGAGGAGGGCTTGTAATGCCCACTTGCAAATGGCGCCTCCGATTCCAATTAAATAAGGCATTAGTAAATGAGAGCGCAAAAAAGAGTGTTAATTTATTTGATTGAGTCATTTGTAGAGTAGGTGGGGCAGAGCAAGTTTCATAAACTTTTAAACGAAGTCTGTGAACACCGGGAAAGATCCATCGTTTTATTTAAGATTTAATGACGGTTGCAGACATCGATGCATTCAACTTGGTTATTTAATGCGATAGTTTGTGGAGAAAGTCACAATAATCACATATCATTCTTAAAATAGTTATCTAAAAATCTAATTACTTTTACTAGTACCAGTTAACGAATCGCTTAAAAAGAAAACAGGATCATGCTAAGAAAGAAGAGGAGATAGGCCCAATTTTTATTATAAAGCAAAATGAGGGAATACTTGTTCCCAAATTACGGCTAGTGACGGCCATACGTTATGGACGGCACATTCCTCATTTCGCCAGCACAGTTCGCAAACAGGAAAAAACACCAAATCCAATTGATTGCCAAGAAGGACTAGTGATGTTGAAGTCCAATCTATTCTCGGTTGCATATAAATTCGATGACTGACGCGGTTGGTGTGTTTACTTTATAACATTGATTACGCTGTGCCGTAATAGGCTAACCAAGGAATGGGACAAAGATTATGCTCAAATTAGAAGGGGGCAGTGTAATACTTTGATTGCATGTTTAACAATTTGGTTTGAGCTTGTGGACACGTAAGGCTCTGCCTTTGTATTTTCTCTGGGCAAAATGGCATCCAGGTTATGCTATTCACCTTCAAGACTTCTGTACCTCAGAAACATAGGTGCTACCCTTGTGTTATAACTTTTAACGTCTTAAGGAAAGACTGGAGGCGCTACGGTTTAATTGCACATTTTAGGCGAAGGCGGTCAATGCACATCAATTTAGTTACAAAACACATACATTAACCTCATCACTGCACCTCATTTATGACAAAACCTATAAAAATCCTCTCAAATAAACCATTTACTCGCTCCGAGGAAATGAGGGGCCGGGTAGAAGATGTAAACATCGAGCCTATAACAATACTTTAATTATTTTGATATAATGTGAGCGTTAAATTAGCCACAATCCTTAGATTAACATCAACTAACGAGCTGTAAACTTTATCCATATTTACAAAAGTAAGGGGGAACGTACTTGGTCAAGAAAGGCTTTCACTTTTAAAGCCAGATTAAAATACACTTTTATTACCCTGAAAACCTTTGGTGGCTACAAATATATGCAATTTATATCAGAAGTCAACTTTAAGCTGCACTGTTCTACAAGGAGTTAGGTGTAATATAACAAAAATACCTAAATTTTCCTCTTTTTGAAGATATACTTTTTAGCTTAAACAGAGATGGCAAAGTTGTTATATTATTGAACGTTTGGTTATAACCATAAAAATGTCTTACTTGCTTGTAGCTTTGTCAGAATTGCCGTTTCGGTGGCATTTGTTTTATTGGTCTAGGATAATCAGCGGCTCAATCATAACTGCGTGAGACTCCTAATAAATGGTAATCTGTTGCCTCGTTCTGCGAACTGCAAATAGCCGACTTCACGATGTTTGCCATAAAATGGATGCAAAGGAATGTATGTTATGTTAAGAACTTACGTATTTGTTAGAAACAATATTCCGTCTCCAAACCAGATGATATGGAAATACGTATCAATGACGATTTTACTCACTCAAATGCACGTATACTTCAATTTAGTGGTAATTTTTTTTCTCACAGAATTCACTTTGCACGCCAACACTGAAGCCACATGATTCAGCACTTTTAAAGGAAATAATAGGCGGGATCGATTCTAACTACTTCTCCTTGGCCGTCGATTGCGTTGAATATGAGATACATGTGAGCTTTTTGTATTGCGGAGTTTTTGATTGCGTCTCCTTTAGCAAAATCTCGCCCACCAATACCGCGACCAAAAGGTAATAATGAGCCGCGTGGAAGCCCTAGAGAAGCAAAGCGATGCCGTCTGTCGTCAGCTATCAAGTCTCATCTTAGAGAAACAGCCCCAGTATCAGAGGGAATTGAAAAATGTCGTTCTTTTGCAAGAAGTCAATGGTGCCGCGTACGAAGAGTGCATCGAAGCCCGAAGATCTCTGGAAGTCCTCTTGAAGAGTGTCGTTGAACGACGAGCTATCGTGATCCGCAATTATAAGCGACGTTTTCGACTAAAACGCGTGTTAGAAACACTCAAGTGTATCCGGTCGCTACAGAATAGTGTTATCGCCCTGAACAAATTGATTGAGGAGCGCAAATTTTGTGAAGCGATTTCACTGCATCGACAGAGCTGTCAAACGACCGAGGATTTCAAATCCTACACCTGTGTTGAGTACGTGTCACACATTTAATTAATTTTTTTAATAGTTTATTGCAGCAGTCCTTGCGTGCGGTTAATCACAAGATAGATGACGCTCTCGATGGTGTTCTTGCTGAAAGTTGCGAAAACTTTGATCCGATTGAGTATGCAGCTCTCCAAGAGGCATTCGAGTAAGTCGCATATTGGATGGGTCTTTCAGAGACTGTGATTTGATAGACGTCTGGGAAGTACAATGACGACGGTGGCTCAATTGCAACTTCACTATACAACGAAAATACACGAAAGAGCCGCGGCGATTTTAACAGGATTTTATGGAACAGCCTCCACGGAAGATGCCAAGCATGTCACAGAATATGAAAGAATATGTGCGGTAAGTGAATTAATGCCGGATGATAATAGGGTAGAAAATCATGAATTTGACGTTCTTTGTCTCTTTTTCAAACACTATAAATACTAGCGGTGGATCTTAAATTTTTCCATATCTGACTGAGTGATTGACTTGTGATGAGAAGTGACCTTTGAATTGGAGCGTTCCTTAAGCGACTAATCTCACGAGTCTTTTCCTCTTTAAATGACGCACTACTCACACTTTTAAGCCATGCTCTACTTTATCCGCAGAAGACTATTTTATGTGTGGTGAACTACGGACAAAATTGTTTACGTGCTAAAGATCGAGAATCAGCTACCGGTAGGACCTCTCTACTAAAAAAACTAGGGAGAATGGAATGGAATTTTCTTTAGAAAGAGCCAGGGCTGATGAATTAGTGAGAAAAGGGTAAGACCTCATACGGCGAAACTTAGCCCTAAGCCATTTGGCCCCATAGTGATAGCTGTCACCTTTTCTTGGCTCCTAGTGATCAAATGCTAAAAAGGAAGATAAAAGTGAGGGTAGAGCAAGAGTGACTAGATCTAGGCTGTTCAAAAGTGCGATTTTCCGCAGGGTTGTGCCTTTTTGTAAATGGACTATATTATTGTAATAGGCGATTGTCTTAACGATGATTTTTATCACCTTACGGTGTCCTAATGCTGGTGAATAGTGCCTGCCAATAGTCGTAGTATGCAAGCGGAAATGCAGTCGCGTACATTTTGCATATTTTCGGCACTTTTTGATCACAACAAATGGTTTAGGGAATGTTTTCACGGTTAATTTTTCATCCTCTTGGATTAACAGTTTTTTTGCGTTGAAAGCACTTGACATATCCGCTCCTAGTTAGTTCCGACTGATCTGGTAGTTTCAGTTGGTTCCCCTTTTTGAACCGGCAGTAGTAGTAATGTCCCCTAGTGTATTAACTCTAACTTCTTGTGGTATCCGTTTTAGAGTCTCCCGGCAACGACCTTGGTGACAGCCCTCTCCAGTCTTGCCAAATCCCTCTGGACCATCCTAGTTTGCTACCACCGCACCGCATTGTGGCATGAAAGCGCCTCTCAGCGCGGCCACGACGGCAACCACGATGCTGCAACAGAGAATGATAGGGAAGAAGCCATCCACACACCCGAACTGGTCTGTCAGTGGCATGGCTACGTGGCCTCCAAGTTGGGACTCAATCGGGGTCGTGTGTGGATGGACTTGGTATCACGAGTTCGTCCCTTGCTCAGTAGCATAGCCACCAACTCGAAGCAACTCACATTTGAGGAAATTGTTGCCACGTTGAACATTGTCAACCGGTACATTTTTCGACGATGTCAATTCTGCTACCATCAGTGTCACGCTCAAAATAGCTTCTTAAATCGGGAAACCTTTTTTACACCTTGAGACTTCTCAGTATGAGGTTTTGCTAACTCATTTTTCTTTTGCTGCCTCTTAGGCTAGTTCGAGTTGGTGAAGAATTTGCAGGTCATATGTCATTCGATCTGTTGGAGATGTTAAAAAACTCCACCCGGGGCTTCTTCGGGGAGTTCCATCGAATGCATATGGAGCGGCTGCGACTGTTTTTGGATCATGAGGGGTGGGAGCATGTTCCTGTGCGACCTGGATTCTCGCTTTTTGATTTGCATGTAAGCCGATATTCTTTTTCTGTTTTCTGTTTTGTTGTATCATGACATTTGAAAATGCTCATTGAGAGAACATATGTCTAGGAACGAATTTACGGTGTCTGACTCATCCAGAGGACACCAAGTGTGTTGTAGATCTGAAAGTATCTTTGTCACCTGCATACCTACGTGCTGGAAGCCTAGTAACAAAGGCGATAGTCAACGCTATTTGCTGCTGTCAAAGAGGCTGGAACGTGGGAGACAGGCAAAAGTCTGTATAGCCCAATTTATGATTTAAGCAGATATTATTCTGAGCGTACTGTGTGGCCACCCTTCTTGAAGACAACTTAAAAAAGACCGTGCACTTTTGTAAAATGCTTGGAATTTTTTATGTGTTTGCATTATAAAGCATGGGCACGATACTACTCATTACATGATATGAGCATTAAAGCAGAGGGTAAAACCCTCTTTCGAGTTGTGTGCAAGTGAATGAATAAATCAGAATTGACGGATGTACATAGCTCTAGGCGGTCACGACCTCCAAGATTGGAGAAGCAATGTAGAGATTAGTTCCAGGGTATGGAAGACTGTCAGCTGGTGTTTTAGACATAGAGAACCAGATTGATGAATCTAACTATATGAATACTGGTCATCATATACTGCTTACTGCGAAACTTGGATTTAGGTAAATATACATTTCAGGAATTCCACACTCTTACTGACCTTTTCGCTCCCAATGGGGACGCATTCACGGCTATCGAACCCGGCGTTTCTGGGTAAGCCAGTTAAGTCTAGTTTATTTATCTCAATTTACACATTCGTCTGTTCAAATACACTTTAGCCTCTTTGGGTGGCTCTCTCTCCTTTAGATCTCCGTCGCCGAGCCGTGAAAATCTCTTTAAAGAACCCTACGACTGCCATTTCTTTGACCTGGGACTGGATGATTCGAAAATTGATCAAAAGGGTTCTTTGGAGAACGATACGGAATTGCCGGTAGATGGGACTGTTGTGGGAGAAAACTCGGTTGGTTCGATTATGCATTTACTTCGGGATACGTATATCGTGTTCATTGACTTGAATGGTTCTACTTTATGCCGTTGTTATTCATTCAATAGTATGGTAGCACTAGAGCCAAAAATGATCGGACACAGTCGGTTTGAAACATTGTGATAGAATGTCCATTTATTCGATACTTCCGCAAAGTCCCGTATCAACAATTTTGAGTAATATTTTCTTCGTTGATTGCGAGTACTACGATCGAGGTGTCGGGAATGTTTCTTTTTAGACTTTTAAGTGACTAGTATTTGACTTTATAAAGTGCCACGTAATAGCCGAAGTTTTCATGTAAATTATATGGGATGTAGAGGCCTAGGCGATACAGATGGAGGATTAAAGCTGAGTTCGACTGACATAATATGCAGCATATGAGTTAACTCCGGGACGTGATAAGGCAGGCGACTCTGCAAGCAACTAGAGAGCCATAAAAGAGTGCACAGGGGTTGGAAGGTTATTAGCGTAGGTGAGACGAGTGTAGCCCCACACTCCCATTGTATGTAACATTGGATCCTGTTAATTTTCCAATCAGAGTAATTAGGAGACTAAGACTTTGCTGACGTGTATGAGTAATCTGAGGGATAGGTGTATGTGAATGCGACTGCTGGCTGACTACCGAAAACGCATGGCAGTTCCACTTCCACGCATTTGTAGTGCTTTGCTTGGTCTTAGTCTTATACTGATTATTAACACATTTAAAGTTTATCTTTACATACTACTGGCCAATCAGGGGAATCGAATAGAAATGTGGATTTTGAGATGTTCTGAAGTGTTTGGGTATTCGACGTGATAGTTGGCGTCTGAAAAAGACCGCGTAGATACTTGGAGTTTAAGCACATATCTTTCATGTCGTCCCACCACAAATGTGGAATTACGTATATACTACAATGAAAGATGTGTCGTGTTGAGGTGGTGGAAAGGATGTGAGAAGATGCTCAAAACAATGGATGGACTGAGAATTACTTTTTTATTTATACCATTCTTTGGAGTGATGTAGCTTTGGGCTTCGGGGATAGCATTGAGGACGCTTATCAATAACTCATGATGCTATTTTTAGGACCAGTTGACGCCTTCCAAACAGGTGGCGGCCTCATCAAGTCCGATACTCGCCAGCACAACAATAGAAGTTTTTCGTCTCTTCGGTAAGTTTATACGTTGATGAAATCCCCCAATATCTAGTGTCTGGCTTTTTCGATCTGGTTTGCTAAGTTTTGAAGGTTGAATTTTATATCAAGTCAATTGTACGCACAACAACTTCGATGTTATAGCCTAATATGGTAAGAGTTTAAAAATTATTCTCATTTTTTTTTAATGAAAAGGAGGTATTGGAAGGTGTAGAAATTGGTAGTAATCTGGGCTGCGGACGTGGTAAGAAATCTGAATCTTATTTTTAGTCGTTTATCTTCTGCGACATTGCTATAGCACCCGAGTTACCCTTGACGGCTTTATAAGAAACACTGGTGAACATGTCATTAGTTATTGCCAAACAGTTCACCAGGAGTGCTCAGTATGTAGAGCGTTGCAGACGGAATTGCTCACCGAGCAATCACTCGATGTAACTTGAATATGCGTAAGCGATTATTGTGAAATCGACAGTGGGGGAAATGACACTGAATTGGAAGCGGGGGTGGCAAACCAATGCAGGAGTATCTTTATTGTCAGCGAAGGGAAAAGGCTGGGAGTCTAGCAGCATTGTCCGGGTCCCATGCCAACGGCGTAGTCGTTGAATCGGCACCACTATTCAAGGTGTGCAACATTGAAAGATTAAAAACGTCACTCAAAATGAACTTTGTGTCTCATAACTTTTGTAGTTTTATTTGATACGCTGGAAGTAAAGGTCAGAATAGTAATAGAGCGCATCTGAACGAAATTTGTTACTCTTTTTTGGCAACTTGCTTGTCCTTGTCTTTCAGTGCGATAAGAGTTGCCACCACGGGATTAAGGCGGCTGTCACTCAGTGAATACAAATGCATTAATTATCTTCTTATAAATAAGAACTGACATTTATGTTTTAAACTTCATCAGTGATTTATTGCAGCCAGTTAGCATAAACTGGTAAGTGACACGTCACACATTTGTGACACACCGGGTTGGGTAATATAATTGGGTCGTACTGTCTGTGTGGCGCTGGTGTTGAACGGCTCAAGACAGAGTGTAGTCAAATTTCTAGTCCCTTGCTTTTTCAATGTCACCCCCCAGCCACAAGTTCATCCTTGGTACGCAACTTCAGGTGATTGGGAAGGACCCAGCTCTAACAAATGGCCGAGATTTCATTAATTTATTGAGCCTACAGCCCTCACCATGTGTCTACTTTTTGTAGGTCGCTATCTACAAATGATGCGTCTATTGCGACCCATTGCTAGTGAGGTGATGCACTGTATTGGTCAGATTTTTGACTACTATCTATTCGTGGTGAGTTTGAACCAGGTCTTTTTTTCGTGGTAGACATCTGTCTTTCTTTTTCATCCCAATAGCTTGCTTTATTTACCCCTTTGTAGGTCTACAGTCTCTTCGGGAAGTCTTTTGTGAGTTTGACTTATTTACAACATGAAGTGCTAATAGGAAATTAATGGGTCATGGAAAAGAATATGCTTGGTGACATTTCATGTGTGTGATGAAATATTTGGCTTACACTTTCATCAATTGCGAAAGTAAGCACACATGTGCCAATTACTGGTGACTATCAATTTGTCGTTCCTCACTTCCTCCACCTGCGTCATAAAAATGTTTTCTAGCTGACTTTTGATTAGAGATGACTTTTATATTTTCGATGATTATTAAATAAACGAGGTCATTGGCTAAGTTGGATGGACCTACTATCTGCTTTAATCCACACTTCTATGGTAGGTGTCGCTTCGTCCACAGGAAGAACAAAGTATATTGTGGACGAAATTATTCACATATTGAGATTCTTCACCTTCTGAAGGTTGCACAATTGCGCGGAGATCTACTCTACAAAACTGAAGCGTGTGCAAAATATCATTAAACATTTCATGTCATTCGTCAATCACATCATGACATGTGGAATAGGCTGCCAAATGGAAAATGCAGGTGATACGGAAATGAAGTTGGCAAGCTGTGGAGTTTTAATTGACTCCTAGAGACAAAGCATTCTGCAACAGTGGAACTCCTAGCACGTTTATTTCGTTGTGATAGGATGTAAATATTTAAAAGAAGAAGCGTTTTATGTGGATAAAAATAAGAAAATAGAAAATGAATGAGAAAACTGCGGTAGACTGAGGTCCAAGTAAGGAAAGTGTACCCTACTCTTCGATAAGAAAGTGTATCCCCAACATTAAAACTTCCGATTATTGAGTCAGTTAGCTTTCTCTTTTCAAGAAAAGTTTCGATAGGTAGGAAGGGTGTCATCCTCAACCTCTTTTCTCAATTCATTACTTTTATGTTGTTAGGATGTGAGTAAAAAGCTTTTCTCCCACAATAAACACGATGTGAGGGAGTCAAAGAAAGCTGGGAGAACTCACACAGAATTGGCAGAACTTGTGATTTTGCTACGGTAGAAGTGTGTGTCAGGTCGCAGTCTTCAAAAGGGGAGGAAATTTGTGATGATGGGTCTTTTTTTGGCCCTAGTTTGCTCTTGTGCATTGGGTTCCCTCCGGCTGTCTACTTATTTTCCTTCCTTTGCCGTTTCGTTTGATTGGTTCAATGTTTTTGGTCGTTAAATGTCACCACCGTCATTCTCATTATGCTTACCTTCATTTAAGCCCCATCTGGATCGCAGAGAGGGTCTTGCTTTTGGATTAAATTCGGTTGACAACGGAACTTCTTCCTCTGAAAATCAACAATGTTCTACTTTTTTCTGTTTAGCTATTTAGTAATAAGACGATAAAGCGTATTGGGCTCTCACTATTAATTCGGCGACAATCCAAATAGTTTTATGGAAGGATCACAAATCCATTGTTTACACGCACTTGTGGTACTTATTTATATCGGAATGAGTTTTAGAATTTTATTAAGTTCCTAAAAAATAATCTTCACATAGTGCACACTACATTTCTTTCATCACACAGGTTCCTTGTGCTTCGCTAATACAATCGTTCCAATTCCTGTTCCAAATCTCATTAAATTTCCTAACACAGTACTTAAAAGGCTGCATGACACCAATTTTACCAGTCTCCTAGCTCTTCTACCCCAATTGGATACTTTATATCCAAAACCTGATAACCTCGTGAAAAATATGATTTTTCCCTGATACTTTAATTGATGGACCTATCGGTCGTTACGCGAAAATCATTAGACAGGTTTCATAATTGTTTGGGAAAATAAGCCATTTCACAATCTCTAGTTTTCAATTGACAATCTGATTCAACGAGTTGATGGAACCTAGTTTTCTTATCGAACGCTTTTCCAAATTTTCGTCATCTCACAGACGCTGAAAGAGGACGCAGCTCAGCTGCCGGAGCGCCTGAGAAAAACTCTTTCACGAATCTCTACTCGTCTCATTGCTCCGGCTGGTCACTCTTGCGTGGAGAATGGAGTAAGTAACCGTCGCAAATGGGATCTTAATCCTGTTCTGACGATGCTTAACCACACACCCAAATTTAGAGTCGCTTTGTGGTTCCTGACTGCATCCTGAGCACTTCCAATCGGGATACGATGGGTGCCGATCAGATGGCAAGCATGGAGGATATCATTAACCATCTTCGACGGCACCTTGTTGGTGTGGAATCCTTGGTCTTTTTGTCCAGCGTCCTAGAAAAGGTAAGCCACGTTTAACTATGTTAACTACCCCTCTTAAATCCAATTAAAAGGGTATTTTTTGCACTTCTCGTAATAGATGGTGCACAGGTCATGGCCAGTTAGGATTTGATGGCAGCCAACAATGGTAGTGAGTGCATGCCTACATACGTGCACATGTGTAACGACGTGTGATGGTGCATGTTCTTTGCAATAAGAGCATCAAACCCGAACTCACTAGCATTTACTCGTATCTACAGAAAACCACAAATGCAGCACGATGTGGCAATAGGGTAGTCAGCTGCTTAGTCGTAAGATGTTTGGTCGAATGATGTGAGTGTTGCAAAGACGGCTATGCTTCATTGCGATCGTATTTGTGGTGATTCCTAGCGTTCCCAATCCACAAACCTAGTAGTAATTCCTGTGAACATTAATGCAGCACTTGTAGCTCTCGTTTGATCTTGAGCGTCTGGTTTGTGCACAATCTGTCCTGGGATAGCATGAGAGATGTAAACTCTGTGAAGTCGGTGATCACACTTTAGTCACACATGGAAATTTGCAGTTCCAGTGTGCTTAGTACGAAGGTAGAAATAAATTGTAGCCTAGAGTGACTCAACCGCACTGACAAGCCTATCTACGGTGAAGCTTTTTAAGTATGAGCTAAATACTAAGACGAGTGTATGAGTGTATCGCAAGGAAGCTTTGTCACAAAAGAAATGCGATTTTCACTGTTTAAAAGATGCTGTTCTTTGATATTTTATGCTCTTAAAGATCATGTTTTGATTTCGATGCCTGTTTTATGAACTTGCGGGAGAGTAAATCGGCTGATAGCTTAGCTGAGACGAAGATTTTACTTGCCGACATAAAGTACATGCCGAAACTATATGTTGTTTTCACAGGATCTCCTTCCCCACCTTCGAGACTGTCTCCCAGAGAGCAAACGTGGTCTCTTGGACGCATTTCGTGACCAATCCCTCATCACAACCCTTGACGTCCGGGAAGCTACTGCCCGTCACCTCGCCTCTTGCATCTTTCCATGTCTCCTACTCCTTGGTGGGTGAGTTTCGGACGCCTTAGTAATTTGGGTGGTGGGAAAGCATCCAGTAAGAAACATATATTTCCTCTCCTCCAGACATCCAAACCGAAATTCCTTGGCAGACAAAGATGCGGCACATCTGCTACGGCAAATGGTGGCGACGAACCCCGGTTGGGCATCAAATACGGTTGCGACGGAGCCCAGTGCCTATCTTCAGTCATTGAACGCGGCGATATCACGCTTAGCTAGTGCTCTCAAGGCCCTCCCCCCACCTTCCATTCCTCCACCGGCTATGCGCGCTCTCTGGATGGGTGCTATGGCGTGGATCTCTGCAGAGCTACTGGAGGGACTGGCTGGAGTGTATGACTGCACGGAAGAGGGACGCAGTCAAATGCTCCTTGACGTACAGTCGGCTGCTGTTCTATGTGAAACAGAATCGGGCATAAGGTTTGTGTTCTCCATCTCTTAGTCTTCCATCTTGCGGGCATCTGGGACCGCCTGTGAAGAATAGATCTAGACTCCAAAAGGCCGTTATTTTATCGTTAAGAGGTTGATATTCGATTCGACTATACCATAGCATCTCGATAGCAGAAATTCTGTGGACCCAAACTCGTTGTCGGTATGCGTTCAATCGGTTGACTACTATATAAATGCAAGAAAATATGACATTTCGGCTCTATAGAGCTTGTCTCTGATTCCATTCGGATACCCTTTGCATCTGCGGCTATGATGAAAGATTCTAGTCCATTCAGACCTGGAGCAAAATAAAAAAAACTGGCAGTTTCGGCCATTAAGACCAAATTATATTAGATATTCGGTCTTAAGTATCCCTTTCCCCTTTCCGTTCTCCCTCAGTGCTAGACTGTTTGTGAGCCTGAACTCGCGGGTTGGTTATTTTCGAAGATGATGCCAGTCCATGAAAATCGGGCAATTCATATTCATCCAAGTCCGTGAATATCTCTTTTTCCCTTTTCTCCTCTCAATGCTCTAGACCCTTTGTGAAGCTGAACCTGTTGGTGGACTACATCCAGGCCTTCTTCGTGCCCACCCGCGAGTGGTCTAATTGGCTGGAGAGTACAGGAGTGCACCGCTACACACAGCGTCAAAGTCTGGGCCTGGCTCATTGCCTCGCCCGCGGTGACAAGCACGCCCGACAGCGTCTGCTTGCCGCGGTGACCACTGTTTACGCTCGGCATCAGCAATCCGTACTACTCCATTCTGGTGTTGTCGGTGGCTCTGGAATAGAGGCTTGATATCTACTTGTCATATCGTTTATCTTCCTTACATTCCTATGGTGAGACAACTATCTTTCTAATTTCATTCTTTTGTGGTTATGTATCACTTTCTCTTACTCCTTCCCTTCCCTTTAATGTGTACTTAAGAATGGGAAAAAAGTTTTACTGTAACACTCTGTCTTGCTGAATCGGTCGGTAGGTGAGGCATCGACTGACCTTACTTGAATTTTTTTTTTAATTAGGTAAAAGGAAGACTTGCAATAAAGCATTCTTAATTATGGGGAGTGGATAACATTGAGAAGTGAAGTGAGTATGTTTGATTTAATTGGCTACTTTAGTTGAAATTATTGTATTGCTAATGAAAAGAGATGCAATCCTGAGTAGCGTCTTTTCATCTTAGTAGGTAGGTGTCAGGAATGGTCTATAAAAATATGTAACGTACTGGAAATTGAGAGATAAGGTGGTTTCGAGGACTTGATGGGCATTTATCTCGTACCTCTGTAGCATCATTGTTTGATTTCATTTAAAGAAAACTGTCCTTTCCTCTTTTTTTTTATGGTATTTTGATAGTCACCTGTCTGCGGGGATTATATTTCTAGGTTGGACCACGCACATTGTGCAGGGAATATCTTCGGAACAAATGAATGAACATCCAACATTCGCATCAGTCTTTCCTTGGGTCCAGTTTGCTACACCTGCCATCCTTTTTATCCATTTAAAGTTTAATCCAGGATGTACTGTTTCACCGCATTGTTTTTCATTTAACTAGTGTGTTAAGGTATGAAAGACGCCGCTTTGGACAGGACCGTTTAATCTGATCAGAAACAATTGGAAAGTGGATTAACTGAGTTCTTCACGATCGGGAATGAACATTTTGATTCCCCTTAAAATACCAGCCTTTTTTCCCTTTTTTCAACCCATCACGAGTTATCCCTCTTTCCAGTTTTATCAAAAGTTGCCGATACATGCTACTTGGCTCATTACAAGATTTTTTTTGAAAGCGTCAGGAGAGACGATAAAGGTATGCATTTTCTCCACTTCTGCATCATATCTCCGCTACATTAAAATGTAGTAGACGTCTTTCGGCGTTTCTTCTGTTACCATAGCGACTATATTTATCGTCTGTTCTGCACTTTTGCTTCTTTTAAAGTGCAATTTAGGATAAAGGTGTGCTCATTTTTAGGTCGGGAATTAGTGCCAAAAAAGCTTAAAAAACCGCCATTTTTTGCGAAAAGACAGTGAGGCTGAACCATGAATACATGATACGATGGAGGCTCATGGAATCGGCTTCTACAACATTCTCTTGAGAAATACTTACAGGCATCTTGTTGGTCATAGTTATGGAATTACATGGCAAAGGGAAACTGCTGGGTTGTAAGATAAACTTGCTGTAATAATGCAGAGCGTTGTTACCTGCGTGCTCTCTGACCTCTGTGCTCTCAACCACTTTTCTATTGTTTAAAAATATCTTGAAATATCGGTCAAGTCAGGTGCAAATCGAGGTTGTCTGCCTCATGAGTTTAAGCTAAATTTCAAAGACGCAAATACCTCCTGCAACGCGAATTGCATGTCAGTTGTACAGTGATAGACCCCACCATCCAAACTCAAATATTATGTGTAAATACTACAATCTGGTGGTAAGTCACTCTAGGATGAATGCATCGTGTTTACATACATCTCCCATTCCTGAATCGGTGTGTCACCATTGACAGGCTAGAACAGGAATAAGTCTTTTATCTTATCCTCTATTAGTATTTCTCCAAACAATGATTGTCATCTTTCTTCCCATTAGTCAACCACATATGATATAAATGGACATGGCTAGAGCTGGCTGGGTAGCTCTTTGGGTCAAAGGTCCCGTTGTAAAAGCGGAGTGGAGGTTGTTGCCCTAATTTGTGTATTGCTTCCTCCAGATTCTTTCCCAGACCAATGGGAAGGTACGGTACAATAGAAGGCGGACTGTAAATAACTATTGTCCTTTTATTTATGGCTATTTACCGCCAACTTTTTACTATTTGGGCCCAATTTTTAATGCTTTCAATTAAAAAGAGGCATCTTACTGACAAGAACTCCTTTGTGTCAAAATGACTAACCTTCAGAGAGACGGACGATGCGATTCTAAGTAGGGTCTTTGGAGTCATCAAAAAATTCCTTTGTTGTCGTTAGAGATGGTTTGGCGACACCTGATTCCATTCATCTTAATAAAAGTAGAAACTTTCAAGTTTCTAACGACCTGAGGAGCATATCATTGCTGTGAAATTTGTGCTGCAGAAGCTACGAAGAGCAGTTAAAGGAATCTGTGTTAACTTCTTCCAAATATCAATTCACGACTGTGCACGTAAAGCAAAAACTTTTGTTAGTTTTAAAGCAAAACTGCGCCGGATGAAGCAAATATAATTTATGGCCTGTTCTAGAGCTCGTAAATTACAAAGCGCAATCATGTGCTGTTGTTAACCCTCATTTCCGGCTAAAGCTTCATCACCTCCCCGTGTCAACTTACTTGTTTCCACGCTGGCAAATTTCACCTCAAATACTCCACGTGATCAAAAGTAGTATCGTGTACCGCAAAAGGCCTTCCCAATACATTCTTTGATAATGTCAAATACCCGTATAAGCTGAAAGGGATAACAAGAATTTTGGACTAAAAGTGCCAGCAATTAGCCGAATCTGTCCCAGAAGTCCCGAAAAGTGAACTGTAACTCTGCCCACTATGATGGACACAAGTGAGACAGGTAAATGTTATGTGCAATCGTCCTGGTTTACATATCTGTCGTGATTATGACAATATCAGAGCATATTCAGTAACTCAGTGTAGCGTCCCGAGACTCCCTGAAGACGAAAGAAGACAAAATACTCGGGCAGAATATATATTCAGCGCAGAGAAGGTGTCTGGGCTATTGGCATGGCCCAAAAGGCCAGCCCACCCAGCGAGGTACAAGGGGGCTAATTCGAAGTACAAAAGTGGCGCCTCAACAGAACAGAGGGATAAACCACTATCGTATTACATCAGTAGCATTTAAATTTTAACACCAAGAAGGGAAACGTAACTCTCGAGGCAGACGAAACCACGTGGTTAAGTGCAAAGTTAAGGTAAAGGCCGTTTTTATAAGAAGTCCCCTTCCTCACTTTAATGCAACCTTCAATGCCCACCAGATCCACTCTTCTTCGTCAGTCACCATAACGTGATTGGGATTTTAAAACCATCTACAAGTCAGCGAAGTAGCACGTAAATTCCACTCTACCCGTATTATCGATGACGTTATAAAGCTCATTAGCGAATTAACTCTTAGCTGCTCAAAGCTTAATTATACTCTACAGCATTTCGCTCGTTGAAAGCCATTTCCGAGAGCATTTAGTAAAGAAGGAGACTGACTTAATAGACCACAATATAAACTGGCCTTACATAAGTAATCTTATTAATCATTTCTCCTTTGCATCTTTATTTGCATTCTAACCACCTATCTGGGTTCCATTTAGCTGCTAAGACCATGGCGGCTTTATGCATTTAGCCGCATAACAAATAAAATCATCACTTAGCCATCATGGTACCTCAATGGTGAAAGTTTGCAGATCACAGATGCCTGAAGTAGCTTTAGGCGCCATTTGTCCTTCTGTGAAATAAAATGTTGCGTCGATTGCCAAAAGTGGACGCGAGTGTGATGCTTATGCTGTTTAAATGCGCCTTTTAGGTTAAAAGCTTTCTGTAAATACAAATATGGTAGCGGAGGCATTGTCAGTTTTTTCCAAGACCGAGAAGAGTTCAGAGCCCAGACTTCCTGCAAATCTGTACTCATTCCTGTTAACATTTCCTATTTAACGCAATCTTATCGAGTCAAGCTGTTTGTTCAAAGGAAAGAGGTAGGGTTAAACGAGGATCGCGTCGCGTTGAGTACCTGCGGATTAAGGTATCCACATCGTATACCCTTCTTCTGTGGCACCCAATCAGTAAAATCGTCAAATTTCGCTTATTTGGTGACACTCACGTTTGCGCTTAGTGTCGTCTTCAACTTCGTTGGTCCAGTGCTGTTATGTATTTATTCAAAATAAACATTTGTTTCGGCTATAAACACTCACACAACTATAATTTGCAAAAATAAGTTTGCTTAAAAGAACAAAACTGGCTCGTTACAATCAGGCTTATAAAAATACATGAATAACACCTATTTTAACTGAACTTTTTTTGTGAGGAGCAAAGCACAACAAATCATGACTTAAAGATTAATTTGTACTATTTGATGCGAGAATATGTGGTTTATTGCATAGAACTACTAACTTGGTTCATACAAAATATTTCGGAAACTGACCTTTAAAAGCTGCGCATTTTGCCTACTATTTCAATTTACTAGCACTGACTCATAAGCGCACGGGCCTTCGTTCCTTAATTGAACCACATATGCTGCTTTCACTACTACTATGAATCGAAGGTCCGGTCTGCAGTCGGATCCAAAATACAGATCATATTCCGTTGCCATTGACAAATGCCTCAAGTCATTTGAATATTCAAATGAATGGGCTGATCTGATTTCCTCTCTAGTTCGCCTTATAAAGGTAAATTTATCTCGACCAGTACAGGATTTTTCAAGAATGTATGCATTTAATTTGTTACTTTATTAACACACGTGGTCATTTGCTCATCAAGTGAAAGTGGTTACTTGTCTCTAGTTAATCCAACAATACGATCGCTACGATGTGATTCCTAAAAAGCGTTTGTTGGGCAAACGCCTAGCACAATGTCTCCATCCCGCTCTCCCTCCAGGAGTTCACTGCAAGACTCTTGAGTGTTTTGATCTTATCTTTCGTATTATGGGTCCGAATCATCTTGCTGCCGATATTAGCATCTACGGCCCCTGTCTCTTCGGCCTTCTCGGTCCCTCCGCCATGACCGTCAAGCCGCTTCTCTTTAGTCTCTTCGAAACCTACTTTCTTCCCCTCGGCGAAAAGCTGAGAACTGCTTTTTTGGGGCTCCTGCAAGTCAGTGGGACCTTTTTATCTCACCACACTGTGCTTTGGCGAAATTAAGCAACTCTGGTGTTTCTTGCATTTTCAGGGTCTCTTACCCGGTCTCGAAGAGGGGTCAGAGTTTTTTGAACGTGGCAACAGTATCATTGAAAAATTCTGTTCGGTCGTAGGACCTGATTTCTTCTACACTTGTCTTTGGCAGGTTAGCTTCTACCATATTTTATTTTCCTTGAAAATCTGCTTGTTTTAATCAAAGCCGACGTTTTAGGCATAATCTGTGCTGAATCTGGAAATTCATAAGCATAACTTATACCTTACACAACACTCGTCTTTAATTAACCACTCTGTTATTAACTTTCAGGTGAGCTTTACCCATACAGTATGGGATGGAGGTGGAAACTTGAAGACAAGGCAAAGCTGTTTTATATAAATATGTTAGGATAGTTCACCTTAAAAACTGAAAATTTTAGAACCCTAACAACTAAACTCGCAGTTTGAGGTAAAAACATGCAGACAACACTAGCGTGTTTTCAGACGCTTGTGTGGGCTTGTATTCCGCGTTACAAATAGCTGTTTCGGACGGAGTTATGCACACCTCAATGCAACAAACTGATCGAGATCCCCACTATGTTATTATTTGAGAAAACGGGCTTCTCCCCTTCGCATCTTTTTTTCAGGTTTTGATTCATGCCCCATCAGTACGGCACTTCGGCACCGCATTCATCCTCAATCACTTCAACAAGCGACGACATCTCTCAACTCAGGCCTGTTTCTTCGGAACCTCAACAGCGGTTCTGGTAGGTCTCTTGATATTTTTAAGCACCAGCATTCTAAAACTAGCTATCACCTTAGGAATGGTGTGTGAAATGGCTTCTGGGCTTCACGCATGAGTCGGGTTTTAATTGTCATTTTTCTGCATATTATATCTGACATCTAAAAGGCTTCACAATTATCTCCAGCAATATTATTTAATCGCGTTCGAATTGAGCCGGGACTTTAATTATGCCGCATGACCCGAGTTTTCGAAGGTATGAGCTGGATTTTTTAGAAACTTTTCTACAGCCTTCTGTTGCTAAGTTTATGTACGTGTATTACCAGCATTTAAATGATACTTGGACAACAACGTCGGCCGAACAATCCGGGGGCAGCCTGATTTGCTTCGTTATTATTCGGGAGCTGGACGCCGTCTTGATATTTGGCGTGCACCTAAACCTAATCACTTTTCCTGGCAAATGATTGTATTGCGTTCTCCGTTCTCCCAACAGAAGGATTAGTATTTGTGTAATTTCACAACGATCAGGGCTATCGTGCTCTGACCGAGTATTCACAGGAACGATTGACGAGGCTGTAAGCTAAGGACCATTACTAACGTGATTTACACTTATCGTCTTTAAAACGTCTTCACTTTTCAATCAAACGTTTCATCCCTGAGCGGCTAAGTATTCCGTTACTGTACTGTGCTATGCTTGAAGTCATCTGCGGGTAGATGTCCACGGGTTCGGGTTTGACGCCTTGGCTGCAGAGGAAGTTCGTTTACCACTCCACGTTATTGCGTGCACGCACTCATACACTCACACTACTATTTGTGCCTGACATCTAACCTTAGTTAACGGTGTCTGGACTGGACCACGGAGTGCTCCCGTTATTGCGGTAGCATATCTTTTTTACCTTCTAAATCAAAAGTTCCATTTTAACGAACGCTGATCTTGTTTAGCCATCACTTGGGATTTCTTTAGAAGCTTTTGACTGGTACTTTGTGAATAAGATGGACAAATTGGTGTATTTTTATATTTCCGAACGCTGTTTGATGCTTCCTTTCAGTTGGAAAGCATACGATGCTTGTTGGCTGACAACGTAGTGCTGGTTCAGCGTGACACCCTGGATTTTGTCATCCTTACTCTGCCAGTACATTTGGTTGCATCTACTTCCTCACAAAAGCAACAGAAGAGGCGTGATCAGTGCAGCCATCCTTTGGAAGGAAGGATAGCTGCGTCGGAGATGCGGGACCTGGTGGCGGCGGCGCTAACGGTGCTTCTGCGAAAGGATGCCTCATTGAATCGACGTCTTTTCATGTGGTTGTTGGGCTCGCAGGCCATTGAGTCTGCCGATGCGTCCCAGCATGCCACCACGGTTGCTAGAATAGCGCTTCATTCTAGTAACGTGAGTTTTTGTTTGTACGTTGACGACGGTGTCAAAATAATTTTCCAGCATACTCTAGCGGCCAGGTCTCTTCGAAACCATTTTTATCATCCGTACTCTTGTGATAAATATTACTGCATCTAGTTTCTTCTTTCTGTGCCTAGTAACTTAGTTTACTCACGTTAATGAAGCCGATTGTGCTCTCAGTTAGCCGCAATTTGCACGTAGAGGCGTATTCATGATATCTTGGTTAATGCTCCCCAATACACAACTTCACGACCCGATAAAGACAAGTTGAACGCACAGGAAGTAAACAAATCTTGAAAAAAAGTGGTCAGTAGCCAGTGAAGGAGCGTTTTCCCCTATAAGTGCTTTTAGTGGCTTTATTTGTGCAAGCAGGTTTCCCATTTCTCATTATTTTAAAAGAACTCTTCCAATTCCAAATTCCCTAATTATTCAAGAAAACAGGGTGTGTCATGTCCTATCTCCTAGCGGTAATTTAAACTTCATTATTTGAGCAAGTGGTGTTTTAGCCCGTCTGCATTGTCCAATCAAACTCCAATCTTTAGCTGTTGGTTACCACCGTCATCATTTCGTTCAAGCGATTTGAGTAAATGACCAGTTTTCATGAAGCTAGCTACCATTTAGTATTGTCGATCAGCATTGCCTTTATGCTTAGTTCCTGCTACTATCAGAAACAATCTTAGTCCAATAACACATTCGAATACACCTTGACGATGCAGCATGATGTTTGAGATATTTAACTTTTATATCCTATCATTTTGTCTAAATATGTTGAGTTAACTCGATACCATTATCCAATCTCATTCATGTGTAACCACCGGCCATTCCCCAATCAGGTCCAAAACGACTCAGATTCCGCAATCCAACTGCAGTATTTCAAAACCTTCAGCCTCCGACTTCTCACAGAGGCGATGCAAGGCATCCTTAAATTGACTCTTGCTTCGCCCTCCATCGTAGATGTGCAAACGGCCAGTAAGTCGAAATCTCCTCATGTTTGTGTATCGCTTTCCTTTATGACTCCTATGTACGTGCTTCAGTCTCAGTTACGCATCCTTCTTTTCTGTCACTCACCTTTCACTAACAGCTTTTAGCAATATTGAAGACGAAACAGAATACGGTTCTAGATGTAGGTTTATTATAGAAACATAGAGCGACTGGGCGACTACGTGTAGTGCCTCAAGTCTTCATCGAAGTTATGGTATGCCATACTGGTGCGGAGGTCCGTGAGGTTATGGCTGTAACTGGAGGACCATGTCTCCCAGCGAAAGTACAACTTGTGAAAGGTAAATAGTCATCGTAGTTAAACAGACAAGCCACTGGATGTTTGTAGACATTTATGTCATCAACATGGATGCCGAATAGTGGGTGACTGTAACGGTTCACCTACAAGCGTCTGTAGCTGAAATAAGTTTGAGTCTACTTCACGCATACCTTCTTGTCTCAAGCTCTTCATTATTGGTAATTCATGTCTTAGATTTAGATGGGCCCCTATTGGGATGAACAGTGTCCAAGGTCCATTAGACCCTTCGCATAATTTCGAGTTTCGACGCCGTTTTCATTTAGCCCCTCTAGACACCTTTTTGTTGAACGGTCAGTCGATATGCTTTTCTGTTGAATTTTTGCAAAAGTTACTGCATTTCTTTAGTGCAGACCCCTCGAGATGCGGTTCTAAATTTGGCCCCTCTAAAAATTTTCATCACCTCGCCATTTTTAGCCTTATTGTGCTTGATTTCGCCGGAAAGAGATTTGGGTGCTAGAGTTACCGATACGAATGTCACGCGATGGAGTAGTTTGTAAATTGCTGTTATGATGGCAGTGAAGAGTTTAGAAGCAGAAACAAGATAAAATGGCCAGCCCAACTATGGATGGATGGGGGGCGTTGGGAACCAGAAAAAATATGGGACATGAAATGAGCTGGAATGTAAATGCGGTTCGAAACTCGAAAAGACGTCAAGAATTTTCCCCTTTTGCTTTTTCAACTTCGTTAAACTTGAATATCGAGTTAAATCGTGGGATTGAGACTCTTCAGTCTACGAGGACGAAGAAGGTACGAGTCACTAAATTATTACTCTACCCAAGGGATGGAAGATTAGATGCACTGGTGAAATGATATTTAGCCTAAGCGCAGTCAATATGAAGACCCTAACGAGGGAAATCACATGATGGCACAGCTTTTTAGTTGAATCGACTATTGTGATACTATACTTAGTCCTCGTACCCACTTGAGCAGCATTTTCTGCACTCCTCATCAATGCAGCGGCCAGATTCATTAAAACTATGCGTAGGAAGGCTTCTATTTTTAATATTTAGTAGCGGCTTTCGTGGGTTTAATTAGGCTTTATCCATCACGTTCAATGACAGCAGTATACTTCGAAGAACTTGATCTGAAAGATGTTGCTTGGTATAGGCTGACGAATATTCTACAAACAATACTTTTCAATACCAGTTGGGCCTTGTTAGAGGGTTTTGTTAAAAACGCTACATACTTAGGTGATTTGAATAATGTCCGTTTCCTGACCTCCTGCTACTTTCTTTACGCCCGTCGTATCCAGTTGTCTCTCATCTGAGTTAATTTCTCATCCCCTTGCGACCTTTGGATCTTACCTCATGCGGCCTCTACATCGTCGATGATGACCCTTTCCATTCAGATCTGGCTGTAGTGTAGCATCCAAAACCAAAATGATTGGTAGGCAGTCAGCATAGTTCCATGGCTTCCTCTATTCTGCCCATCCATAGTGGTTCGTCATCTGTTATGCTGAAGAGTTTTCGCATTAACCCCGCGTTTCTCTTCAAAGTATAAGTGAATGCTGGCAATTGAAAGCCTGTGGTGCTTTTGAAGACGCTAAAGTATAACGATCGCGCATGAATTAATGCATAACAAAAGGTTTTCACTATCTAGGCCACGTCATCATACTACATCGTGTTCATCCTATTTTGGCTGTCGTCTTCAGTTCTCCTTGCAATTACTCTTCTCTCCTTAACCGAAGCAACAATACTTGGTTGGATTGAAAGCATTCATATCATGACGGTGAAAAGACTGCCACATAATAGACTTCGATGTAGCTCATCTGCACTACTTTCCATTAGTAAACTGTGCAAATTTTCCCCTAGCTAGGAAATATTTGCTGTGGATGGCCGAGTCTCCGGGACTGCACTGCAGAAGGGCAAGAATGGCGTCTGCTTTGGAGTTTTACACCACAACTATTGATGAAGCGAAATTAAGTTTCAATGAATCTCAGCTAACTTCAAGGAAAGACTTATTGTACTTCTTTGAAAGGAATTAGTTTTCGTCATAATCTGTGGGCATGATATTACCCATCACGAAAAGCGATTAACATGCTTTCTGTAGAACATCGTCCGATTTTTGCCACTATCTTCTAAACGGATTCTTTATCGATACACTTCAGCTTGTTGATTGTGTGATATTCGAAAATTTGTACCAGACTTGTGGTTTATGCTATCAATAATAAGTAGTATTTTTCCTAAGATGCAGATTCACGATATAATCTTTCATTCCGTGTGGCACCTATTTTCAATTTACACAAAGTCTCGTTACGACTTAGGCGGAGAAGTGGGAGCGAATAGCATTGGAAATGGCGCTCAAAAGAGGGAGAAGAGGCCAATTAATGATTTGATGTTTGTTTCCAGTATGCGTAACTAGACGAGCTCCTCAGCCTCCACAAGCTACTTCCATTTTGACAGTATTGTAGGAGTTGCAGTGCCAAAATAGTTTTCGGTCGCCGAGACAGTTTTACGGATTCATTAACCTTGAATCTCTTGAGTTTCACATGTACAACGGTGCGTGTAAGCAGTCATACTCTTCATCACTAATAAGGTACCCCCCCACCAAACCACACGGGCTATCTCGGAAGGTATCATAGGCTGAAGGGGTCTAAAAAAAATAGCTTTTAAGCTTCCAGACAGTCCAAGAGACTAATTATCCTCGTAATCTTATGTCTGCAAGATGGATTTAAGGCAAGACATGGGCTTCGGGTTTACAGAATTAGCAAATCGGATGTATTTTAAGGAGTACAAATTTCGTCTATTTTTCCACATGGTCCACCCATCTCACTAGAACTTAACAAATAATTTCACAACAGCTTCGACATAAAACCAAATTGTTAAGACGATTGAACCATCCTAGGATAGCCCAATCAATTTGTCATTCAAAGATTGGCCTAATCAAAGGGGGAGAGCTCTTTTGAGAAGCAGCTTGCCTTGGTATTATGTAATTTCTCATGTCTGTGAATGATTTTTTTTGTATCTTGCTGTGTTCAACTCCCCCAGAGAAAATTATTTTCTAACGCTATTTCACCACATTGAAAGTGGCTCTGCGTTGATTTGGCGTTTCACGCACTGGCTGAATGACCGCGGAAATGACTGCTGAGAATGTGAACTGGGGTCATTGCTGACATACGTACTTACCCACGGCTGTCTGTTAAAGTCAACTCCTGAGTGGCTGAAAATTCTATCGCTGTGGTATATTTTGCTTGTAGTCATTTATGGACAGGAGCGGATTTTCGCAGATTCGAGTTCTACACCTTCATTGTTTGCAAGAAAGTTTGCAAATCACCGTACACTTGCACGCACATACGCTTCCACTGCTGTCTGCCGTCTCACCTTGATGTGAACAAGGTCAGGACGGAACTGGTCCAAATACGGCCTTCGCTCAAGCTATTATCAACACTCGTAAAGTACTCCCACAACCCACTCCTGTGGCATCTTAATAACCCGGAGAAACTAATGACGCTTTTGACTTCCATGTATTTCGTAACCAAAGCTATTGAGTTGAACTATGCTTTTTAAAATTAAGGCGAAAAAATCTTGATATACAAATTTATTTTTTTACTAGACCGCAGTGCTTGTTTCCGTCCCTTCCGCCTCATGGGAGGTCTCTTAAACCGTTCGGAGATCGGTTCCCTTCTAGTAGAGCACGTTCTGGTAGACTTTGTCTTCTTCACCCTCCATATGTACCATCGCCTTCAACGCATCAGTGGTAATGATGGAGGGAGTAAGAGTCCCCATTCGTCTGCCTACTCATCGGAATCCTCGTCACCAGCGAACCAGCGATCCAAGGATCAAAAACTTCCTCAGCAGACGTTGGAAATGCTAGCACAGTACGATGCCTGTGAGTTGCCTCTGGTGTTGAATTGAGTTTCTAGGTATTTTGAAGACACATCTCAAAGTACAAATGGGAACCTCTAAGTCATTTTTTTTGATCGTCGATGTCACTTCTGGCATCTCAACATGTTTCTGCTTATCAGTATTCTTTAAATAGCCTCGTCTCGGGAAGTCACGTTTTATAATTTCCTACGAATATTTTTGCTTTGACGGGAGGTTTTTTTGCCAAAAAAATCGTGTTTTGGAACAGAAATTATTGAGCTATCAAGTTTGAAATGCCTGATTGCCTCAAGTGATAATCACTCTGCTTAGTCAACACACTGTAACTTGTTTCGCAAAGCAATGCAATTGACCTGAGACAATGACTACTGCAGTGTTTGATTGGTTTTGAGTTAGTAAATGACTTGCGGAGTTCCGACCCTTAAGTGAATCAGCCACGTAGGAGGCAAGATGGTTTGAACTCCAACTTATAGATAGTAAATACATCCACCTTGAAATTCAATAATTTGAAGTAACCGTCTGTATTGTAGCACAAATTCAGATGGGGTAATGCTCAGTGTTGACTAGCTAACACTTTTCTACTGATCACCTTTTTAGTTTCCTGTAATCCAAACCGAATACTTAGGGAAACAGTCACCCTAGACTGGAGGACTTTACTGGCTGTATTTGGAGTGTAGCGGATATTAAAAGCTGGTACCTTTATAATCTTTGAACAACCTTGATGAGAATGAAAAAAAAAAGTAAACACGGAGTGCCTCGTCACAGAAAAGACTGGCTGTTATTGGAAGCGCTCAGAATACAAAGGCAGTGTACTGAGCAACAGCATCCTCGAAATTATGTATGGTAATCACATCTTTTGCTGTTGCATATTTGCTGATGAAGCACGAAGGAGCATTAGCCAGGTCTAAACCTTCTGTGTTTCCTCATTTAATGCTAAATTTCGAGTATCCAACGGTGGAATCGGTTGGCTGAATGTGTTTGGATGCCAGATTTTGAACCAAAAGTTGTCAGTAAGGGTTTTTGGTCAGCAAGGAGTGCGAAACGTCGGCGGTGAAACCACCTCGTAGAAATGGCCTACAGCGAACACATACCGAAGCCTCCTTTTTAATTTATCCATAGTGCTTATCAGCTGGAATCAGTGTCTGTATCAAATAAATGGTGGCTTTTTCGGGAACACTAGTCAGTAATTGCATGGATTGTTTTTAACATCCACAGTAAAGCCAAAACAAACTATATTTATGAGAATCGAACTAACTCACAGCTTGATACTTCATCAAACAGACTCGCAAACGGACGTTGGGTTTTAGCTCTACGTATGTTGTCGACATTGAAGACCTCGTTCCCCCAGTCATTTTTTGGGTACTCCGGCTGGGATCTCAACATTGTGCTCACACATAAACGCCAGTACACAACGAAGCTGTGCAAGAAAAGTTTTCTTCTTAAGAAGCGACCAGGATCGGTGAAACTTTGAGATAGAGGTTTAATTCTTACAAGGCAGTTCGAGACTTCATGCCTAATCCGACCGAGAGACTTAGCTCTGAGATTTGGACTTTATAATGGGATGAAGATACGGCCTCACGTCATTCTTATCCATGTCCTCTTCTTGGCATTCGCATAAAACAACTGCATGAGCACAGCCGAAATAGTATGAAGATCTGGAAACATGAAGATAAAGTAGGAGGTGAAGAGGCTATAGCTAGGTTTTTTCTTGGCTCATGGAGCCAAAATTTTTACTTAGAAGTTGCAGCAAACTTGTTCTTTATTTGAAAAGGATGATCGACAGCAGTGTTGGCTATTTCGACGCATGGGACAGTGTGAGAAACTTTCTGAAGTTGTATGCTGAATTACCAATGCAGAAATCACTGATCTGCTTGTTGGATATTTAGCTTCCACTTAACTGAATCAAGGATTATTCTTGGAGTAGTAATAATCCATACCCGCAAAATTTGACTTAGGGAAATCACTTTTTTTGCATCGTTTGGTCGGGCTGCCCAGAAGCTCCTTATCCCCCCACTCTTGTACTGATCGCTTACCAACGAGCGTTTTTATGCCAGTGTATTAATGCGCCAAAGAAAGCAGAAGATTTCATACCTAAAATATTCGCCATCGGGGTCTGTTTCATAGGGAAATTCGATCACCACAGTTCGAGGGGATTCGATCGCCAGCATTTTCACTTACAAACTGACTAATTCAACTGCTACCTGAAAATTAGGCAAAATATAGTTATCCAACTAATTTAAAGAATATCCCGTATCCCTCATTGGCTTCAACTCTATCTATCTCTATACGACGCGACTTGTTGCTCTTTTCCATCTCTCAAGGCACCATGGATAGTATACTCCGAAATAGTGGGGGATCTAGTCGAAATGGCGGCAGGCGGACGCTCTCCACCACCAATCCACGTTTAAGTTTTCGCCATTCCAGTGATCCCTTTAAGGAGGCCCTTCCATCAGCCTCTACTGCTGCTCGTATCTCTGTGGAGGCAGAATTCATGCGCGAAGCGGAGCTCTTCTTCGCCAACCTCGAGTCGGAATTTATGTGGCCCTTTCTTCAGAACCACTTCTTCCTCTCTCCCAAAAAAGTGCGTCGCGGATGGGTTTCTGCAGTCCGCTTTTTGGTGGAACATCTGCCAACCGATACGTATCCGGAGGTTCGCGGCTGCCACCTACCTCGCATGGTCTCCGGCTTGACAGTGGCCCTAAGCGAGCGGATGGATCATCTCACCCTGACAGAGATCGCCGAGTTTATCGATTTGCTAGTCGTTCTGATTGCGCACATTCAAGAGGTGAGGCCGCATTTTTGTTGAAAAGATGACTGTGGGTAGCCTTTAACCACATTGCAGGGACTTATTGTTGCCGAGCCCTGAATCTCAAACTGATATAGAGGGTACTCTAGTCAAATTGAGACGTCAGATTTTCCGGCTCTGCTATAAAAGGGACGCTACTGTGACTGTATAACTTGCACTATTAGTGTTAAGTCTGTCCTATTATGAGTACTGGTAGATTGTACACACCATGCCTGGCCCAGTCCAGTCCTGACACTGCCTATCAAGATGGGGGGAGCAACGGTGGTGGCGCATACGTGCTATGGTCTGCTAATGTGCGGGCACGGATAGGCTACTTTTCTGAATAGGATAATCATTTCGATAAAACTTCATAAAAACGGAAGTCTTAGTGTTGCCCTTCTGAGTACACGAGGGGTGCGATGTAATTGTGAGCCCTTGGAGTACTACAGCGCACAAGATATCCTAAATCTCGCGTAGTTACAGCTTTTAAGTGATCTTCACAAAAAAGCGAGCCTCAGCACATAAAAGATCCATCCCTACGCAATATCCACCGATCATAAGAAAGTCAAAGTGAGCGCAATTGCGAGTGGGTACAATGCTTGAGGATAAGGCAAAAAATAGGGAACTTGAGACAAACTACTGGGTTTGTAAATGTCCTCACTACCTTCCTTGTAGATAAGTGAAGTAAAGACCTTTTCTAGGATGGACTAGCAGCTAATTTATCCTGCATCTTCATGGTGGAATCAGGTTCGCCCTGCCAGTTTGTGAAGCAGAGTCTACTGGTGGAGATGACATCTAGAACATGTTAAGCCGTATTTCGATCCGCAAACTATTAAACTCATCTGTTAGATCTTCAACTAACTACAAATGGCTTCAAGCACAGCACGCTACGGTGATGGGATTCTTAGTCACTCAGGGGCAAGACACTTAGAATGGTGAAACGTTTCGATCCAACAGACGTCCATAGGTCCATCATTTCAGGCAATGCCATGCCATGTTGCATTGTGTTGCTACTAGTGATAAAGATAACATCTTTTGCTCAATTTGCAAGTTTTTCTCCTACTCATCTCGTCTTAACATCACGGCATGCTCTAGTCAAATGGAGCTTGAGTGTATAACCCCGACTAAGAGGTGGACTACTTTAACGGCATCAAAATTGCTACACCTGATTGTTTGCTTCCTTTTCAAAACTCATCCAACCAAACCCATTCTTTTTAATCCAGCCAGTTCATCGGTTTGAAACCGGCCAACATTGTTGGTATGTTGATCACATGAGAACTTGCTGCTGCTAATTTGAGACAAATGAATGTGTTTGACGTACTTGAAAATTTTTGGGCTTCATCAGTCACTTTTTTAATTCCTGGTCACTTATTTTCATCACAGCGAACGCCTTTTCTGGGGTGGTAGGTCGATTTGTCATTGCTTGTACCGAAATCTCACAAAAACTGACCAAAAAGTGCTTATTTTTAACAGCATATGGTGACAATGCTGGATCAGTCTCTGGCTGATGTTTCGCGTCCATCAACAACGGGTGCATCCAGCGCCTCCAAGCCGTGGAACAAAGAGGTTGTTTTGATCGCTAGTGCGATTGGAGACGTCCGACGTCTTCTCGCGGCTTTTTTCAAGCACTTTCTATGCTCTTCATCATCTAAAATGGTGAGTTTGCCTACCTTTCTGACAATCCCACCTGCTCACTCTGAGGCTAATCTGTCGGTGTAATTTTAGGTGGATAATTGTTTGGATTTTCTACGATATCAGGGGAAAGATCTGAATGATCTGGACAGCAAGTTTTGTGAATTTTTTGACTCGAAGGCGGGAGAAGTGGAGCGAACTGTAGTGGTGGATCTACTGGCTCAGCTTTGTCGCCTTGTTGTGGAAATGTGCAATGTCCCTCTTGTTCAACCGTCCACTGATTCTGCTTCGACTGACGAGCTTAATTTCAGTCGTCTCTTTGATAGCAGTTGTGGTGCAGACGATACAGCTGGTAAGTTTACCTGTTTGTCTTTCATTCCATTCACGCATCCATCTACTCGTCCTTTCCCGTAGTCATCCACCCACTCATCCTGATTTCATTTATCTGGGAACCATCTGGCTATTCTGGATACATTCATTAATCCATTCATTCTTCTCTCTCTCCATTCATTTACCTTCCCACCCTCCTTCCCCTCATACTCTTCTTTGCTTTGAAGCCCTTCCGGAGTGGTTGGCTTGCCTCGTAGCAGGTGGAGTGTTGTCTGCAGACTTCGACACAAAGGCCGTCTGCCTTCACGCCTTGTTGGATCTGGTCGAGGCTTCCACTTCCATCCACGGCTGGCCTTTTGGCACTTCCGACTGCAATCACCACCACCACCTCCACCAACAACAACCTCTGGGTCGCAGCGGACTTCTTTTACCTGTCCTGACTCCCCAAGTTCTAAGTACTCTCGCTTCCAGTTTGGACTTCTTCCCGGTAGTGTTTATTTAAGTTTGGAGTGAACCCTTTAGAATGCCTTTGGCGCATATTTATTGCTTCTCTACATTCTTTCGGCTGATGTGAAAAGACAACAATTTATTCATCCGTGCAGTGGAAGTTCTATAATGGCAGATCCTTGAGGACTGTCGGCGTAATGGCGGTTTTCAGGTGAAATAGGAACTTGAGTTCATCAAACGAATGCGTTCCAAGGGTCACAAACAGTGCCCCTTTTTACACACAGCCCTCTTCTGCCACACTCGCGCACCTTTCTCAGCAGCATCTAATTAACGCCACCAAAGCAGCTTTGACACGAAGCCAAGTTGCAAGCATAGTTGAACCATCCTAGTGTAGCCAAATCACTTTAGCAGCACTTGGGCATCCCGGTACCGGCTAAAAGCAGAAAATTGCTTTGAAACCCGATGTGCACGACCATTTTGTAACTGTAAATGCTTGCGAAAGACCGTGTTTTGCTTTCATTCTCTAGCTGTTTCCGCACAGGGTTGACTGAGGAGACTGGGGAGTGAGATAATCACTGACGTTCAGACGAACCTATAGACGTCTGTTGGAATAAAACTTTTCAACAGTTTACGTGTCTTGCTTCTGAGTGGCTAAGAGTTTTATCACCGTAGCGTGCTGTGCTTGAAGCAATTTATGGTTATAAACGGATTTTCACGAGTTTTGCTTCTGAGTTTTCATTGTTCTTAAGACAGTTCATAAATCCGTGTAAACTGTTGCACGCGCACACTACTATTGTTGTCTGCTATCTAATTTTGATGAATGGGATCAGAACGGGATTGACTCACGCGGTCAAACTCGTTTTACTGCCGGTTAGAAATCAAAGGTCTTAGTTTGCCCGAAGCGTCTCTTGTAGTACGACGATCTACTGTGGAATATCACTCCTTTATACATTTACAGGTTGCTGGAGTTTCCCTGTGGTGTTTCCTAAATGAATCCACCTATGCGGAGGACGCAGCTTCCCTGTTGATTCGGGTCCTAAACATGGCACCGAAAAATGTGACTTATTCCGCAGAGGTTATGGTGGAGAACTTCATTGTGCAACAGATGCTCTCTGCAGACCCTGCACTTCGTACCCTTGCACACGTGAGCACCTACAGCGATCACTTCTATTCTTTTTCTCTTTTTAATTGTTCTTACCCATCAGATTTTTTTCTATAAATAGCGCCGATTCGCTCTGCTTTGGCAATTTCAACGCTCTTCGGTCTCCAGCATGGTAGCATCGACGACAACGTCGACATTGGCTAATGCAACGGGTGCTGGTGGCAATTCAAGCGGTTTAGGCACTTGTGTTTCTGGCTGGCGCAGAGCTGCGATGGGTTTGCCTCCGATCAGCAATGAGAGTGCTTCAAGTGTCGCAAATTTTAATCGGTGAGGGTGGTGCATATTTCAGCGCCCAATTAATTATCTGTAACTAGATAACGTGCTTTGAACCTGACTAAATCCCGTTCTGTTATTGAGTTTGTAAGGGTTTTAACTTCTGCGTTAGTTTTCGTTCGGTTTAGAAAATGTGAGACGTTCCTAGAGTGCTACTCTACTCACTCTAAAAACTGTCTGCTTACCAAATTATTGTAAACCGTTCCTGTGCTCTCTAGCATAATTTGAATTGCTATTGTAGCACTCAAGCCATCTCTGAAGGGGTTTTGAGGCATGTGTGCCTAGAAGCAAATTTACTATCAAAGTGTAGGAACAGTGCGAGACTAGTATTATAGGTGTGACAAAAGCTAAGCTCCGTGTTATCAACATGAAGCCTGAACCGTCAATAGCTACGAATATCCCCGTAATCGAATATGCAATTATTTAAAGGAAATATTAGTAGTATAGCGAGTGCTTACAGTAATTTTGGGTATGCCCCGTCTGGGCGACTCGTAAATTCCGGGAATTTTTAAATGCATGGGTTTGTTTATATACCTGGATTATAAATCCTTATACAATGTTGGCTGCACCGAGTGTGATTCGAACTTGTCTGCTTTAATTTGGTTTAATTGTTTGTAGCTTTGCACCCGATGAAGGTGCAGCGACAGGACAAATAGTGTTATTCTGGTAGTGCATCAAGTTCAGGAAGGTACCTCTATCCTTGATTGTAACAAATTGAGGAAGAATGTTGATAAAAGTGGTGGGGGATTAAGACGTTAAGACTGTTTCCCAGTAATAGTCAATTTGAGTGACCAAAAAGTTAATTGGCATCTGCGTTGATTGGGAAGGGAAGGTCGTGTAGGCTAAACAAATGGGTCTCACGCAAGGACCATGCATTAATAGATGACAATACGCTAGAAAAACTGCAAATTTTCTCTTCACTTTTTTCACTCAAATCCAAATGTGTGGTTCACTTTGGGTTGCTGACTGATTAGATGAGTTGCGATAAAGATACGCCACCACATGTGGTCGACTGCAGACGGAATCGTTACGTTCATGTGCTGACGGCTGAGGAATAGTTGTGGGGGCTTTTGTCTACCGACAGAGAAACTGAGACCTCAGATGATAAATCTCCTTGATTGAGAAACGCCATCGGTATAGCGACTTATCATCTGGGTCTCGAATACGTAAGGGCCTGAATGCAACCTTATTATTGACGTGTGGAGGAACTTGAGAGGATTACCATTATCATCAAATCTTGAGGGTCCTGGTATTTACTTTCGAAATTAGGGTAAATGTTACCTCGTTACAGACACAGAAGTTACGGAAGGTTGTAATTTTCTAATTTGGGACGCTCTACTAAGTCTCTCTCTCCTGCTCGTCAGATGCATCTTGATCCTGCTGGACAATTTAGACGACGCGGAGACGACAAGTAGTGGCGGGAGCGGCAGTGGTAGATGGATGCACTTCTGCGATTCCCTCTTTCTAGCGTCTTCAGCTGCACCGGCAACGTCGGAAGCGGCGGAGTCACAGAAGGCGCGAGCGGAGGTGCGACAGGTGGCTGCGGCTTGGCTTACCTCCGCCTTGAGCAGTGGACAGGTGGGTCGCGTAGTGGCACCACTCTTCTTCATCCTTCTCCATCCTTCCACGGCGCGCACCAGCCTACTCTCTATCCGTCATCGCCGACGTCTCCTTCGGCGGATCCAGCGTAGGCGAAATCGGCGTCTGCGACGCGCTAAAGCGCTTCCGAGCAGTGAGTTTCCACCTCCCTTCGCTTTGTTTTGAACCTCATTCTTAATTGAGGGATTAGTATCATCACTAGGATTTCTTTTTAATTTGGACGTCTCTCATGCTCCTTAGAATTAACTTATAAAACGCTTTAATCTTTGTTTGAGGTGTCATGGCCACTTTGTTAGCAATTCATTTTCACTATCAAGTCCTTGTACCTGTATTACGACAAAATTTCAGTTTTACAAAAAACACTAACAAATAAAACTCCATTTTAACTGCAAACGGCAAAACTTTTAATCTACAGTCGCACTAATTCCCAATGAATCTAGATTGTGAATGCTGGAAGTCAATACCGAGGGGTTTTTCTACATGCCATATTGGAACTCGTTTTCTTTTGTTCTCCTTGGGACACCTTCAACTGGAAATTACAAATTTCCATTAACATCAGAAGATTCTTTGGGCGTTGTAGAGTGCTTGCGTATTCAATATTTCCTAAAGGGTCTTTCCAAACGCTGGATCGGGCTCTTCTTTTTCATTCATACATCCTTTCTTCCCTAAAATTAGTGAATTCTCCAGTAGGTTCTTTTCGCGTTTTTTAATCCCTAAGTTCTCTCTCAACTGGCCACTTGAGACATGGCTGCCGTTCATTTCACTCCCAGGCTTTGGTCTTGCTGAAGGGTGTTTGTAGTGATGGCGATCTTTGTGTTAGTGAAGGTTCCAAGACAGGTTAAGTTCAACTAGCCCAAAGGAACTGATATTACGTGAACTGAAATGCAAGGTTCACGTCCTTTTTTAATTCTAAATCCACTTTTTCTGGCAAAGCTGCATCCACGACCATGGAGTTCGGTTGTTACTGTAGAAATTTACCATGCCCCCTAGAATCATCCCGGGATGAGTAAGCATAATGTACAAGTAAAAGAAAGTACTCTAAACACTCAGCTAGATAATTCTAAGGAAAGCTACGATGCGATCATGAACTCTGCATCAATAGTTGCCTAGTTCTCTGGCTTTGTCTCCTTGCTGGCCTGCCTTTTGTTTTCGTTGTTTTCATCAGAAGCTGGCCACAATGCCTCTCAACTATTATAGGTCTATTGAATAGTTTTGAGAAGCGTTTTGCCTGCATCGGAGTCGAAGAGTGTATGGAAATGCACAAACGGAGTCTTTCTTTAATAAGTTCTAACAGTTTAGAAAAACGAGTACTAGTACAACTTCGCAGTTGCGAACTTTTTCCTAGTATTCCATGGTATCATTGTAGGTCACTTGGAGTATAACAGCTGCCGGAAATCCAGATGCGGAAATATTTATCTGGGTGCTTCGAAGGATTAATTTGACGATTTCTCGCTACTATCAAGCGCTTTTCCAGTTTTGTAAACACTTTATTTGAATCGTTTCTTGAATGTTTGTACGTGATCCCCAGATAAGCCGCCTTTAAAGAGTAAATATGGACAAGCCGATGCCCTAGTCTGATTCTAAATCCTCCTAAAATGTGCATAAGTAATATCCCCTTCTCAGCTATGAACTTGTTGACCTTGAGAGTCAAGGCGGAGTTCGTGAACGCCCACGTCTAATTTAAAAGTTAATTTGATTACATAAAACCTTTGATCGTTACCCAGGCTGTTACGAATGCAAAGTCAGCGGTGATTGCATTCATTCATCTAAACCGTTATTTGTGTTTATTTCATTTCATTTTCTTGAGTCTTCACTAATATTTGTCTTCGATATGCTCGTAGAGGCGGCTTAAATCCATGCGTTGCTTCATTTCCTCATTCATCAAAGTTTCCTGGGTCCTTTGACCGAGAGCGATTCGAGACGCCATACGACGCAGTGCTTTAAGCAGAGTGAAGCAGAACGATTGCATCGATCTCAAGCGCATTATTTTTGCCTTTCAGAACAACTTAAAGTTTCTTTTTTCAATGCTTCTTTTATTACTAAATCATAATAAATGAGTCCACAAAGCTGAACTTTGATTTGAGTAGGTGATCTACCAGTGCGTCACGTTATCCACTTCTGGTACAATTTTATCTTAATAATGTTTAAACATTATATCGTCCTTGTAACACATGAATATTGCACTGGTATTTTAAAGAAGTCACCTACATTGCTTCAATGTTTTTTCTTGCCTCATTCACATTGGTATTATTGTCCATTATTGCATTAATTAGGTGCTGAATTTCATACGTACCAATCGGGAGCTGATATCATTTAAAATTCCACCTTAGCTGTTAATGTTTTTCACGAGCGCGTTTTAAACTTAATTCGTAGTTTATTGGGGTCGGTTCGTGCTAACTCAAGTTGATTGCACTACTTTCAAAAAGAACTTCACTGTGCGATCCTTTCAGCAGCATAGGAAGCTCTATTTACTAACGAATATGGCGTTTGGCTGGCAATGGCGTGTCTAGTTGATAAACGCTTTTAATGTGATAAGAACCACTATTTGCCTTGAGGGTCTAAGCTGGGACCAAAGTGGTGTCAGCATTATTTAGCCAGGCAAGTTCAATCCAGTCCAGGCGCAGTTAGTCAAGAAGAGACGTGTAAGTGCATGCGACAACGTGAATTTGGTTAAATAGTGTAAACGTCCTCAAGATGGCCCACGTCCATGCATCAATGATGACTTCAGGTTGTGTGCAGTCTCAGCTCATAGCCACGGCAGTTGTTTCTGGGAGTGGAAATTTTTGGAGTGTAAACGGCTTTCTGATCTTGGGCATGGGGTCGACACATATCCTTTCTGAAACGGTGAAGCAAGCGCTTCCTCTTGCAAAAACTGGTAATTTCAAGAAGTTAATATACGTTTCTTACCACGGCAATCTTTCGCATACTGTCCTAGTGTTCTTCAGTAATATCAACAGATTTTTCTACTTTGAAGCTGCTGTCCAGGTATTCGTTAAACTTGTGCAGGTATGTAAATGTAGATGGACAATTTGAAAGAAACCTAATATAGCCTCCCATCCTTAGTTTTTTTTTTTTTTTTTTTTTTTATAAATTCAAAAGTTCAGCTCTGATGTTACCTCTCCTTATTGTTCCGTTTCCATTCCAATAAATTGAGACATCTAGTAGTTATAACTGTAATAAACTTACTTCGTAATCCGGTATTAGGTACCCAAGAGAATTCCGATGTTGACGCTACCGATAAGATTGAGGAGGAATCTGAAGACGATGACGAGGGTTATGACGGTTCTGAATGCGACACAGATGACGATGATGGTGATGATGATGAGTATGATCGGAATATCTACGCCCTCTCAGGAGGCTCACCGTCAGGCGAATTGCATTTCTACCTCTCATCATCCATCTCTCAGGTAATTGACTATTGTCAAGTTCCATGCTAGCCTTCCTATTTCGTTTACCACTGGTCGACCACCACAGTTCGGGTCCTTTAGTTGTTCCAGTACAACTCTAAAAATTGCAGCGCCAAACTGACCGATTTGGCTGCTGCTCAAAAACCATGAAAAGCCGTGAACATTCCATTACCCATTTCATTGTTCTGAGTTCAAATGGTACGCTTGTGATACACGTTTTAGTACAATCAAATTTGTCGTAAACGGGTTCGGGTAATAAAACTGAGGAGTGACCCATATGTGACGCCAGTGGAAGGTGTTAATCTCAATTTATCTGCTTTACTTTTTTTCCATTTCAGCCATCGACGTCCGAGGAGAGACACAAGCAGCAGGAGATGAGACCAAAGAAGACAACGAAAACGATGAAGGCAGATAATGGAGACGTCTTCGATGAGGAATACTGTCCGGTCAACGTAATGACGCCTCTTCAAAGTACCAATCATGACACCGAAACTGGAATTAGTGAAGTGGAGCGTGTATCAGTTGATCGGGCTCGAAGAGATGTGATTCAGGGTAGGTCGTGTTTGATCTCTCTAGCTGAGGGATATCCATTCGTGTATTGGTGGCCTTTTTTTCATGTGGAATTCCTGTTTCGGCACTGGTAGAACCAAAGCTGTAAATTATAGTCAGAAAATTGAGATATCATATTGCACAGTTTTTAGTCCTCTAAAGCACTTTAATGAAAGCACGCGAAGCATCAAATGGAGAATCTTGTTAACAGTTAAAATGTTCTTTAAAACCTGGTGATAAACAGAAAAATTGCATGAAGCACTTGGATTGAACTAAATGAGTATGATTATACTTCTCGTTGCTTTTTAATTGTGTTGGTACCATTATTATTTACGCAACATCTATATCAACAAAAGAAAGAGGTGATTGTTTTGTTTATATGCATGCATCGAAAACGTCAATATAAATGTGTTGGGCTCTCGGCGAATGCCCATGTTGTAAAATGCCGGTTGAAAGAACCCGATGGATGTGATTTTCGAGGATGCCTGCTTCACGAAACGAGTTTACCTCGGTTGGGCATGATAGAAGATTCAGGCATCAAGGACAGCACTTCTAATATTCAACGGAATAAAAAACTCCTTTAAAACTGAATCAACTGGGAAGGAAGAACTGTAGAGGCTTGGCAGACGGGTCAACCCACAGGCCATGTATTAATTAAAATGACTTGACTGTGAGCTTGACCTTTACCTTCAAGTACTTAACAAAAGTGCGTCGTTCATTTTAGATTGCTGGTTGACCGACTGACTGACTGAATTGACTTTAGTATTGTAACTTGAATTGAACAAACGAACGAACACGTCGTTAGCTATTCCCTAACGTTCCACCTTCCATCTCATACTTAATCTGTAGACAATGCTTGATGTGTGTGTTGCGGATGAAATTATTCACTTGATGAAGGCCAAAGGGCGGCTACGGTTGGGATCCACTCCATACAGTGGAGGAAAACTTTTTTAAAGGAAATAGCTAGGACTAATGAATCACTAAGGTGTCATTCTTATATGACAAATGACAGAAAATTAGCTGTGACTTGCACGTAATAGTGGGATTGGAGGGGAAGGTTGCTTTGCCTTATCATTATCCTCCGTATTCACCTGATGACATTTTTTCAACTGATTACCACATCTTGACAACAGTGCAAGACAATCATGTGATCACTTGTTGAATGGAATAGACATTTGTGCGACGAAAATGTGGTAGTGGCGGGGGTGGCTAAGCCTACATACCTTTTCTTAGCTTTTAAAACCAAAGTGTAATGGGTACGTGAAATTAACAGCAAATTCGGTTAATATTTCAATGATTGCATTACTTTGGGTTCTCCTCAGTTATTAGATTTCTACTTTAAAGAATAATAAGGAAATACGGTATCTTAGCCATCTGTTCACAATAAGTCCGATCTCGATTAAATATCATGAACAATCTGCAACATTATTGCAACATATACGATTGACTTTACTTAGCTATCAGCTCTTTTTGCACAGTTTTTGTCCACTTGCTTACTTAAATGTATATATGTTTGAGCGTTTTATTCCTCGAACCCAACAGAAGTAACTTTCCTTGATGCAAATTACTTACGACATCAATTACTTTCAACAGTGCTAACGTGTAGATTTCCCGACAAAGAATGGCCAACATTTCTGGTTTCTTTTGAAATTTTGGATACATCATTAAGCACCATTAGCCATCCAAACGCAGTTATTTTATTGCCTTTTCCTGATTTTAAGATAATATTTTACGACAAGGATCTTTTAAGGAGTCCCTTCAGAATGGATGTAACCTAAACCAGCTTAGTTTGTATCTCTACTCACTTCTCGCAGAAGTTAAAATATCAAATGCAGTGGCAAACAAGTGTATTGACAATTGTCAAAAATGAAATCTTTATTTAGCTTTACTTATTATGCACCGGTAATTCATTCTTTAAAATCTCCGAAGTCTTTGCAGCCTTTTAAATTAAAAAAGACTTACCAAACCAAGAGACGACTGATTTTACGTCTCTTCTCTTTAGCAATAAAGAGGTGATACATTTCTGTTTGGTAGCCGTGGCAGCATACGATAGGTAGTCAAATGGTCTGTCAGCTTAGATCTGAAAGTGTCAATTAGGAATGAAGCAAAAGAGAGTTTGTTTACTCATATGTCTAGTTCTCCAAGCTGGCGGAGGCTGGACCTGGCGAAGTCTCCTTGGAGGTATAGGCGGTGTTGTTCATGACCTTACTCGATCTCGCGGCCCCCTCTGTCGATCCTTTTTTCTTCCCTTCCTCTCCGCCATTAAAGTGATTAGTTTGGATGGTGTTATACTCCCAGTTGTTACCTAATGGCTTTCGCGAGGGAGCGGCCTTTTCTCAGCCCTCCTCTTTTCGCCTCCTGGCATCGACAGCCTTGAGGACTATAAAAGTGGCGGCGTGCCTCTTGCGTAATAGACAGCAAGCAGTCAACGCCCCTTAAATCAACGTTCTCCGACCCCGGAGGCACTTCCGCCCTATTTTATTGGCGCCACACACTGATACCCAATTCGGGATCGACTTTTCAACCCATAGAGCAGGGGAAGGCGGTCAAGACACACCGTTATTTGGACCTCAAGAATCCTCAAGCACTATGGGTATATGCTTTTAAAGCCTTTCACTTTGCTTCATTCATTGTAAAGAATCTTGACACATCGGTAGGCGGCGAGAGAGCTCGAGCCTGCATCAATTGTGGCTTTCCACAAGTGTGCAATAATTGGCGGAAATTTGTGACATCTGGAGCTGTTGTTTACGTCCAAAGGTTTTGCAAATTGCCCAAGAAATCCTGACAAAAAGCAGTGAACAATAGATAAAATGAGGACCTTGTTAGAGGAGCGTCAATTCATTTTGAAGTAAGACGACAATGAAGGCTGAATTCAAACCTCATTGAGAGTGTTGGATAACAGATAAGTGAGGTTTTCATGAGGAAACCAACTACTACTCGGTGTGTGACAAAAGGGGACGCGAAACATGTTGATTCTTTTGAAGCGAGATCTAACGAGAAAGTAGAAGTATATCAGCAATCGTTTCATTCGGCCCACTAAATAGCTACTGGGATAGCAAATGTTTCCATAGACATATGCCATGGGTGAGTGGAAGGATTCACTGTGGTTAGTTTGAAATCGGAGCACTTGAGGCAGCACGATTGATGCTGCGAGTACGAGAAGTGGGGGTAGAAAAGAAAAGTGAGTGACTCCCAGTAGTGGTTGGCTGAGTGTTGGAGCGGTAGTTACTCTCACTAACGCGTTCGCTGTCAAGGTCTGTTGCAGGGGGAAATTGACCATCATGGTTTAAAGTATTCACCATTGTTCCAATGAGGCAGCAGTAGTGGCCAATACTTGTTTGTCCTCAGAACACGAAAGTCCTGCATCCGCTTTATTGTTCTATCCGTGCTTTTGTGAGATATAAACTTGTACGGTCGGATACACATCTCACCTAGCTTCGCATCGCAGGCACTTCGACTTTATGGTAGTGTTGATAACTGACCAGGGTCGTGCACATCCACTATGAAGGTAGTAAGTCTTTGGAAATTGTCGCAGCGTAACATGCATGTGCCTTCAAAATCGCTGATCCAAACATGCGTACTCAAAAATGTGATTTAAGTATATGGAAGGTGGATTGTATCCAGCAATGCTAGGAAATAGACTTCCTGCCCTTGACTAACACTCCTGTCCCTTGTCTGCACTTTGAATGGATCGGCGGGCTGTGGACATTATTGCTTTACCCCAGAATGGAATGTGGTTGAGATTCGTTTAGTCAAGTGAAGGAAGCCAAATGAGCCTTGAATGTAGGGAGTCGAATTAGTTCGAGTGCGCGGCAGGTTATATAGGATGGAAGGGCGTTAGTGGACAGGAACTTTTAGATAGCAAGAGGTCAATATGGCAAGTAGATTATCTATTGCAACGTGCAAGGTCATATCCGCAAAGAATGCCATCTGGTGATTAGTATGTGTCTCTTCCAAAACGAAATTGACTTTACCCCTTTTCCACTTTTATCTCCATATTCTCAATGTTTTTCTACCGTAAAATGGTTGCAAAATGCCGCTACGATACCGTTCCTTTCAGTAATACACTGAGGATTACGGTCAAAATCTGCAGTTTGCACATTTTTGTTGAAGTCAGGGCTGCAAAATGATACTTCTTTTCTGGTTCATATCTGATTGTTTCGCAGACAGTCGGACTAGTAATTGTTAACACGGTTGCGGCAGTTGGCACTGACAGTTTGCTTAATTTTAGTCCTAAGTTCATACAAGTCTGATTCAGTTGTTGCTACTAAAAGTCGTGCACGAGTGGGCGCGCCTTTCGTAGTTAAAATGCACATACTGAGGATGGAATTTGGTTTATGTGAATTCTATTATACCGCCCTTATAAGAAGGTGTTTTGGACTTAATAACTTGCTTGCTTTCTCTAAAACGAATTTCTCATTTAACTAGCAAGAATCCGTTGCAACGGTGAGTCTAACCCGCCATCTTGTTCCCGGTTGTCGCTTTATCTACACATTCGTGACACATGCTACTATGTATTGATAATTAGTAGCAAAGAGCTTGCTGTAATGCTTTTCCCATTCGTTTTCTTACGCCTACTTCTCCCCCTGTACCTTTTTCGCGTCGCAAAACACTTGTTTAATTTCCTCTTTACAGCGCTTCTGTCGCAGCTACTGGCGCCCCAATCGCAACCGGGGGAAATGACAACTGATTCTGCCAACCTCTCGCCATTTAATCAGCTTGGTATGTTTCATTCTTGTTAGCAGGTTTCCTACCCAGCTATGAGAAAGTAGTCGATCTCCACATCTCTGCTACCGTTATCGTAGTATGACGCTAAACTAAAAAACTACAGCAAAAAGAATCCATTTCTCTTTTCTCCTTTCAAACTCCACGTTTTCTTATGATAAGCTGTCATGTGACGTGGACTCTGAAGGTACTAATGCTGCCGCAATGACGTCTTGAATTTATGCAGTAATTGAAGCAACTTCTATTTTGTCATTTTGTGTATTGTTGTGGTAGCTAACAGACAGCGTTTTGATCTAAGCACAGGTGTCATACTTTGTGCATTGGTACTAGAGTTATATCAAACAGATGAAGTTCACTCGTTATCTGAATACTAGTTTTTTTGTGTTCCAAGATGTTTGCCCTGATTCTGTGGCGTCCTATATAATCGTTATCTTCTATCCATCCATGGTTTGAATGAAACCACCCCGTAGAAGGTAAACTCATTGTCGAGATTCGTTTAAAATAACCAAAGAGCTAATATTATGCAAACTGGAATTGTTGGGCTGTCAACTTTTCAACTTTTCAAGCGACTAAGGTAGTTTGTGGGGTTTTCAATTAAGCTCGCTTCCATAATCGGTGCAAATTGTGGAAACTTTAAAAATGCATACGGTTTCCTTTTATCCAAGCAGCACAAACGTGGGTTGGAAACGTTATTCCATCAGTAAGACATTTTTTATTGTGGTCTAAACTATTTTTCTCATTTTCTGAACCCACCCTCAACCATAAAAAGTATTGATCGAACGAACCTGCTTGGTGTGATTCGAGTTCGTCAACTCCGTGAAGTGGTTGCGACTTGGTCTCAAAGCTGTAGAAACCTCTCGTAACATGGGTCGTATAACATTTGAAGGAGGTGTAGTAATCGGTAGCAGAACCCAATGGTTTAGGCAAGATATGTGATCATACTGCTTGTCTATTCAAAAGTGGAGGCATGAGTTTGAAGAGGAGCCTCTATTGCGGATCATGAGTGAGTACTGATTAGGAGAGAAGGAGAAAAGGTGCCAAGAAAGAGATAGGGTGATGTTGCATGTGTGTTGAAAAAAATGATTGACATCTATTTGAAGTGAGAAGGACGAATCGTGGAAGTTGCTCAATTGTGTCCCACGCACACGCCATGCTTAAGCAGATGGCAAGAAGGAGGAAAGATTGGCCATTGTCTCAACCGTGTTTGACCCTGGTAATGGAAAGGTGTGGTGAAATTCAGAATGTTGACCGACTGTCTAACTGACTGGGTGATTGGCTGAGTTGTGATGAGAAATGGAGTTCGCAGTGGAAATACAAACAGGTAAACGAACATTTCCACCATTCTTCGACCAAACTACCATTTCGACTCTTCTAGACTTCGTACGACTTTACCTACTGACGACTATGCCTGCTTTGGGTTTGTACGTGCTCGGTGGATTGGAGGCGAGGTTGTTCACAATGAATTGTCGATTTGCTAAACATTAAGGAATAATCGCGGTTGAAACCGATCTACTCAATTCATTTGGAGGTTGTGCAAGAGTGATTCCTGCTTCTTCTTCTACTCCTTCTTGTCAAGAGATTGGGAGCTATTGAATTGGTAGGAAAAGGTGATCTTTTACAAGGTAGCCGAATACTTAGTAAGTTGTACGGTTATTAAAGGGGTGGGAGAAGATTGGCGCTTTGATATGAGATGAGATGGGGTAGGATGGGCTGTGAGGGAGCTGCTGCCCCAACTCCTCCTCAGCCTCATTCCCAACCTCAGCTTTGTCCTGCACCTTACCCTGATGGTATTTGTCCACAGGAATATCACGCCCAATTGAAATTGGGACTGGACAGTCACACGATCGCAGACGAAATGGAATAGACACTTGAGAAAAAAACTGGTAGGAAACTAGGTGGAATAGGTGTTACCGGAATTGGCGGCACGATTATTTCTCGTCGGCGTTTATTTCGATGAGTGAAATATTGTGAGGAATTTTCCGGATTTCGTTGATTTTTGTCAAATAGCGTGTGCTTATTTGCTGACCTCAAAGTAACACTTGGGGCGAGCCTGAACTTGATACTTTATGATCAATTCTTCTGTAATGCCAATGATTTAAAAGTCTTATTATACAATTCATTTTCTCGTAACAGTAATGTGATTTACCTTAGTTGTTAGTCAATATTTTGCTGCCTTTTTCAGTGGCGTCTCCGGTAAAAGTACTACCGGTTCATGAACACCTCCTTGTGTATCTGCACAGATATGACTTCAATCAAGTGAGCTTCCTGTGCAATTTTTCTAACGTAGGACTGAAATAACTTTGTGCACCTCTTCACCGCCATAACATACTAGACCACTTCTACAAGGAGTGGTGGGTTAACTTTTTACACTTTATCCCTCACTAATCTGCTGTCTTCGTGTTTCTGTTAGGAATGTGAGTTTCTCGACGACGCGTAGTTGGTACCTTTCGATGGAAGTATCTGGAGCTATTTGTGACATGAGTTTAGTGTGTGAGAGGTTGGGAATTCCCCAGTTATTGTGACAATACTTATTTGTTGGAAAACCATTCTTTTTTACTCCTTCTCATTGTCAGCTAAAATAATTTCTCAAGCAGAGAGGCGATAGCTCAGTAGTAGTTTGTAGCGGAATACGCCCTCATTTTCAAAGCGTTTTCAGTGCTGCCATTTACTAAATTTTTGCACTGTCGGTCACGGAGATGCATTTAAGCCAATGATGTGGCGAAGACACCTTGTGCATTTGTAGCAAAAACATCTGACACGACCTCTGCTAGGCGAACTGCACTTCAGCTTTCCATTTACATGGTTAGTGCTAAATTCAACGTCTGGACGTCTTGATTTTGTGTTGTACCTAGACCTTTCGATTCAGGAGACACCAAATCTTTCGACTTAACGTATAAATAGGAATAAAATCCCACGGAGCCAACGCTATCCGGTTAGATACAGACAAAAATGTGATTTGAGTTGGTCTACAAATTCTAAAGAATACCGCCACCTCTATCTTAATTCCACTGCTCGACACTCATAATATTCTTCTTTATGTAACAATTTCGACCATGAATTTTCCATCTCCACTCACTTAAATGCATTAGTTTAACTTTGAATTCTACCCTTACTAGGTCACCTACGCCCTCTCAAGATTGTGTGCGATTCTCAGGAGCGATGTTGGCACCCTGTTTGTGCTAGCCTTGGCCGCCTCTCCCACAGCATCGAAAGGGCCATCAAATTCAGCATCTGCAACGCGAGAGGTCCCGCGATTTGCGACCTGTGAATTCCCAACACTCTTTGGCACAAGTGAGCATTTCGCCTTCTCTCTTTGTCCCATTAAGTTTCATTCTCTTTTGAAAACTTATCCTATCTACTCACTCACCCATTCTCTCACTTAATTAATTGGATTTCACATAAACACGACTAATTTTTTATTTTTTGAACAATTGTACCCATTTATTCTTGTTTTTATTCATTGTGTACGGGATGTAAGTTGTTAAAAAAGTCCTCTTTTAATCTTGAATAGAAAAGTAGTGTGATAAGTGCCGTGGAGAGGCACGCTTCTAGTCGATTGACTGTTCTTCTGTAACACATTTCACCTCTTGTTGAACTTTTGAAGTCTTTTTGCTACTACATCGTACCAGTAACTAGAGTTTAGCTTCATAAACACTGCTGTTTTAAGATGAACTGCAGGAAATTTTAATGAAGGCAAAATGTAGTGTTGGTGTTTGGAGAAGATAGGACCGGTAAATTTTAGTGTTCAAGGTAGTTCCACACAGTGTAAACGCGTGAATTTCTGCTCTATTATACATAAATAAGCATAGTGTGGAAGAATCTTGAAGTTAAAGGCTGCTGGAAAAAGCCAGTGTATTTTTCTGCTTAGTTTAGCATTCTGGTTTTCTGCAGATTCATTCATCCCTCATTTTTTGTACTTGATAATAAACCAATCCATATGGACGAAAACTCTCGTTAAAAGTAGCTTATAAATAGTCAAATTTCTTGCCTGTTCATTGAAAAACTAGTTAGTGGAAAGTTCTGTGGATAGCCCATCGTGTTAATACTAATGCAACTCGTTAATTGCTTCCAAAGACGTTACGGGACATACACGCATTGAAGCAACTCTACCGTTGGGACGGCTTTCTGCTTATGTGGCACGAGCAAAGCTCCTTGTCACAAGCGTTGGGGTTAAACCGTGCAGGATTGAAGTGCTCTCTGTCGATCAGAATAGTCGAGTTAATGCCACAAATTTCTTTCACCCCCACATGATTACGCTTGCTTTGTGGGTGGTACGCTGTAGACAATTTCGTACCGCTTTAACTATCTTTCCTCGTTCTTACTTCGTTTTATTCGCGATGTTGAAAGTTTCTGAAACACTCGCGGCATATGCTGTGAATACGCTATTTATCTCTCTTTGAAGACCTAGCAGATCTCCTGGCTCGTCACTACCGTTGCCTGCTGACTGGAGGTTGCGACGATTTTGCACGTCACTCGACCATGGACGAAATAGGATACATAGTTAACTGTCGAATGCCCAGCCTTCTAGACGTCTTGCTTTTCATCTGTCTCACATTCCTCCTCTCCCTGTCATTGCCTTCAGAATCCTCTGACAATGCAAATGTCCGCCTCGTGGCCGCTGAATTGCTTCAGCTTATCACCGAGGTGAGCTGCCTAGGTTATCTGCTCTTTCCAATCTGGAAGTCGTGTCCAGGTCTAATCTACTACTATGAGTCATCGTAGCTTTCTAGTCACCTTGTCGTGAGTTTCCTCGGAACAATTTCTTTTGGATAGTATTTAACTAATCTACATAGGCGTAAATTTACTTTCCATATATTGTCGGGTATGTTACTTACTTATAGCTCCAACTTAATCCCCATAACTCTCCTACCAATAATTAAGTCCTCTAACAACTCCGCGAGCAAGGCTCTATACCACCATCGCTACGATCGAAACGTCAGAAAATGAAAGGATCTATGCCACGAAAGCCTCATTCTTCTGCTAAATTCATTGTGTTGACACAATAGGAGTAAGGCTAGAAGAAGGCATGACATGTCTGTCTTAACGTGAAATGAGCACGGAGGCCGAAAATATCCAGTCGAAGCACTTTGGAAATGGGTGACTGAAATTCCTTATTATACTGCTTTTGTTACCGAAATTGCTGTTTTTGTTGCATGTCTTCAAATGTATTTATCCATACCGTATGACTTACTCGTACTTCTTTTAAGTAATATCAGATCTTTTCGCCTTGATATAAAATTTTTTGCAAACATTGGATATAACTTTTTTCTGGTCACCCTGCCCAGTGTACAGTTGAATGTTTCTCCTTACCCATTGGTGAAGTTTCAGTATAATGTTCGTCTTCACCTTCTCTGCAAGTGATAGATGTTCTGTATCGCCAGGCTAGATGGTCTCTTACAAGTGCAGAAGGCATTTTAAAATGAGCCCTAAGACTTTTAATTTTATTTTTTACTGATATTGCTACATACAGCAGTAAGTGGTGTGCTTGATTCCTGGTGGCTGACACCGTGATGCACTAGTCCCAACGCTCTTACTCAAAATAGCAGGCAGCGATTGCGGTCCACACGTGCATGAAACAACGTACAGTGCTGAATATTTCTTTTCTGCGAACGAAGGCCCAAAACTATGCAGACATCCACTCGTAAGGATAACTTCAAATGTGGTATATCTCAAAGGCGGTCGTACCCTCGTTGCCCAATAACGATCCTGACCGTGATGGTTTTCAGCTTTCCTCGTACACAGTCTCGACAGACATTCCTGTGAACACGAAGCCAACTTGTAAACCTCCTGATTCTGGACGCCCACTCAGCACACAACCTATTGTGCGCCTAAACATAATTAGATACGATTTTGTAGTGGAAACGGTGAATAAGACGATCATTCATAAATGTCTGTAGTATTATTGTAAACGCTGTGATGTGTGCATAAATTTGACAAGAAAATATGTAAACAATGATTGCGATTTGCACTCCTTAAAACATTTTTTTAATCAATTATAATCTATGAGCCCAGAAATTCCGGAATGGTTCGAATGTACATTTGTCTATCCTTTGTTTTCGCAGAAACTTCTTCATCTCGCTGTCATTCTCACTCCGACGGAGGAGGGTGAATTGGTGTTGGATACCAAAAAAGACGAAAGCGGAATGACAGCGCTGATCGCCACCCTTAGTGACTCGGGCTCATCGTGGATTGACGCGGTAATTCAGAGGTCGGGTCTCTCACAGGCTGTTCTTCACTGCCTCGCTACCTCTACTGAGCTTACTCACATCTCTGACAGGTTTGTTGACCTGAGTTTCCATCAATCGGCTCAATCACCCACTCTTTTTGAATAATTCAATAGAGTTTTGCCTTAGCTCTCAAGTTGTTTTCAGAAATAATATTTATGTCAGAGGCAGCACTATTCTTGAATTATGCGACTTTTATGGTTTTTTGATATTTGGACTCTCAAAGAGATAGGTATTGGACTGACGGATGCCATAATATCTCTTGATACTTTATTTGCCGATATGCTTTTTGATTTTAATAATGATAATTTTTCGGCTTCTCTTGCCTTTACAGTCTCAACACGGCAGATGACGTGAGTCTACCACTCTGTCTACGTCTTTTGAAATACAACAGCGGCACTGAGAACTTGGCCGAACTATCGTGTCTCCTCAAACTCACCCACCATCTGCTTCAACTCACTGCACCGCGTGGCGAACCTTCTCAAAAATCCACTGCTACTATCTCCACACCGTCCAACAGTCGTTCAAGTAAAACCCCACCGGCAAATACCAAGATCGCCTCAAAGAGATTAGCGAACCAATCCTCCTCTACATCAACACAGGTCCACTTCTCTGGAACCCTTCCCTGGTGCACGTCGCATATTCCTGTTTTCTCTTCAACTCTGAAGGGCTTAACCCCTCTCTCCCAGTCAACAGCACTCCTCGCCGTCCTCACAACTCACTTCATCGGATCCTGTCCATCTACCAGCCACTCACGTTCACGGCATGTTGCCACTCAGATGTTGCTGTTGAACACTCTGCGACTGGGATTGAGCCCCACAGCGCGTATTGATCTGCATCCCCTGTGGTTCAACTTTCTGCGGGAGAGCCTGATCTACTGGGGCGCGGCGACCGCACTTTTAATCAATCTGATGGTTTCACAGATGTCTACGATTTTGCAGATGCTTGCAGAGCCCTTCTGCCATCTTCTGATACCTATGGAGTACGTTATTTTCCATGCAATTAGTTGTTGATGCAATAAAATATCACCAAGTCATGTTGACACTTTCAAGTTTAGGTCTTGACACGTTTCTCCGTTATATTCAACCAATCACCTAGAAAACTTTGACACAGAAAAACTTGTCAGGACGGCTTAAACATCCAAAGGCACTAGTAATTCAGATTTCAGCATCGAAATTCCCTCGATATTGAACGCGCGCCAGCTTTCCGCGATTTTAGATTCCCGTGAGCGTTTGCGTTGCATTCACAGTTCTAATAGAAAGATTCGCCTCTGTCTGATTTCAAGAAAGGCAGCTGCGCTTTGCTTAGGTGTTCAGAATTAGACAGATGTTCCACACACAGATTGAGTGTTCTTTTACCAGAATGAGCGTTGAGACTGTATGTTGGAAATGCTGGGATCCAACACATCTGAGACCCATGTGCGGCGACAATGGCCGGTAGTAATGGGACATTCAACGCTTACTAATGCATGTAATGTCACTATGGTAGCATTCATTTTAACGCCATCGGACGTAATTTGTAGCAATTGCAAGGCAGTAAGGGTTTATGTTCTGCTCATTTCTTTGAACCAAATGATTTTCTACGGATAGAGCATTTTGTTTAAGGATTGATTCTTGTGTAAACACTCGTTTAAAAATAGGTGGCCCAGAATCGTGGAAATCTGCAAAAGCTTTCGTCACCATGTAGGAAATCAAAACAAGTATGATTATGCTACATAGCTATCTTCTTGTTTTGGTGCTCTCAGCGGTTACCCTTCCGTATCGGTCATGACAACATTATTTGGGTGAATTTAAATGCTAGACGGTAACGCAGATAATCTTTTATGCTGATCATTTACTTCCCCAATTTGCTATCAGATCTTTGTGAAATTGGAAAGTGCCACGTCTTCGAATTTGACTATCGTTACACCTTTTTTTGAAAACACTCAGTCGTTTTTCCCTTAGATTACTTGATTCGCTCAATTCCGGCCTCATTGTACGTAGATTTCGAAATTGGCAAATATCAATATCCTTTTTCTGGATCCCCGTAAATTCAGCTATATCAATGAATGCTTTTTTGATTACTTGATAGCAAGGATTCCTATATAAGCAAAAGCTCTTTTTTAAGCGTTAGCAAAATGAACAACATCCACAGGAGTTCGTAGGCGTTGGACTTATTTTGAAATACTGCCTCCAACGTTGCGCCTGAGTTACTTCTGAAGATTTTGGAATTTTTGCTGCACTATGTGATCAAAAGAGTTCGTAAGGTCATTGGGTTAGCTCGTTGGTATGATTCCTCGTCACTTTGGATGACTCGTAAATTGTACCTGATTGTTTACATACAACGCAGTTTGGATGTGGGCCAGTCTGCAGATAACCTTCGTTGTGCTCTGGAATATTTTACTTTTACTTCTGACTCATTCATACGATAAAACGCTGGTTGGACGAACCTGATAGATGTTTTTGGTGGTTGCCTACTCAGTGAAGTGACTTTAGCTCGGTTGCAAAGTGGCAGAAGCCCATCAAGTATTGCGTAGCATCTGCAGAGGGTGAGGTAGCACAAATGGTTTAAGTAATTTGATGTTATCTATAAACCACCCCAAGATGGATGTTCACATTCATGTATTTCCTATATTTTTGGTAATGAAGAAGTACCTGTGACTTAAAACAATAGAGGACTAAGGTGTCAAAAATAAACTTTGGTCCTTTTTACACGAGTCTTGAAACAATTCATTGATACTCACATCAACTGATAGTTGATGAGTTTAGGCAAATTGGTCTAGACCACATGCTATTTAGTAAATGATGCAAATACTCCTAAGTGTAAGCTTACTATTCTTCATTTCTTTCACATGCTCCACGAAGACATGCTATGGATTTTACATTGCTGACTGGGTGAGTTGTGATGAGAAATGCATTTTGCAGTGGAAATGCAAACAAGCAAAGGAACATTTTCACAACCCATTGACCACACAACCATTTTGACACTTCTAGACTTCGTACGACTTTACCTACTGACGACTATGCCTGCTTTGGGTTTGTACGTGCTCGGTGGATTGGAGGCAAGGTTGTTCACAATGAATTGTCGATTTGCTAAACATTAAGGAATAATCTTTTACAAGGTAGCCGAATACTTAGTAAGTTGTACGGTTATTAAAGGGGTGGGAGAAGATTGGCGCTTTGCAATGAGACGAGATGAGATGAGATGGGGTAGGACGGGCTGTGAGGGAGCTGCTGCCCCAACTCCTCCTCAGCCTCATTCCCAACCTCAGCTTTGTCCTGCACCTTATCCTGATGGTATTTGTCCACAGGAATATCACGCCCAATTGGAATTGGGGTCGGAGTCATATAATTCCAAAAGGAATGGAATAAACAGTTGGGAAATAAGATTGCGGTAGAAACGTAGGTGACTAACACTAGGTTAATTGCCCCTAAGGAATGAGCATTTGCTATTGCTACAAGTTGTCGCAATCTTGTGCATCTTTGTAAAGGACTTTGTCGTGAATTTTAAAGCCTGACCCTACGAATTTATTTAGTTGACTTATAGATACCCATAGGAACTGTATGACTAAAAACACTAACGATGAGCAACCCTTGCTTCGGGACTGAGTCGATTATTGTACGACGATTTATATTTACGACATTGTATTTCACACGGATTTCGATGAGAAATCCACGCCACTTTTTCTTCCCATTTGTAGGCGCTCATTTGTTATCTTTTGCTTAATCCTGAATGCTGTTCCATAACGAGTATATTTCGTGTGCTAATACCTCTTCGTAGACTGAATTCGTAAGCGTATCTCATCTTCCTTAACAGAGCGAACAAGGGAACACCCTCACCATCAGACTACCCAGCGGACTACACTCTACAACTTCTCACTTGTCTGCGAGGCATTACTCACACCTTCCTCCTTCCCATCGGCCAATCGAAGTTCAATCTTTTACATGGAATGACACTGGGTGCCACTGCTTTCGCGCATAACTGGTCACCTCCTGCCACTAAATCCTCGCCTACTCATCGTGGGAAATCGTCAAGCAACTCATCGTCCAGCTTTAAAGGTGAGCTATTAGCGATCTTCCGCCAGAGTTGACTTCAGAATGGAAGATGAACTTCCAATTTTCTAGACCAGACTGACATTTTAGATTTTCATCAATTTCAGAGCCTTTGATCTTTAAAGGACGAGCACCATTTGAGTTGCATAGACAATTCCAAGTTTATTTCGACAATGGCGCATTTAAAGGTGTAAACAAAAACACATTTTTCGTCAACGTAGTCTCTAGCTGTGACATTTTTATGCTTATCTCAGCTTTGAACAGGTACCTGGGAAGCGTCTGTATGAAACATTTTTTTCCCACTACTGAGGAATCGTTCTGGGACAGCCTGTATCACCTTGATTTCGGTGTTGCTTTGGCACACGGCATGTGCTAGCTTTTAGAAATTTCAAATGTTCTTGGTTGTGTGTAATTTATTCATCATTCCTACAAAAAGAATCATCTTTTGTGACGTCAAGTCACATGGCATGTTATATTGTAGACCAGGTGTTTCAAGCGCTGATCAAATGTTCACAGGAATGGCTCCCAATGCCTTGGTCTGGAAAGTTAGGAGTTGTTGTAGTCAGAGTTGTCACCGAAGTTCAGATGTACGATCGTCTTTACAATGTTTACACCATTCAACTATATGGTAAACGTCTAAGAAATTGCGGGGCCCATCATTCCCATGATTAGGTTTGAGGTATCCTGGAGATATCCATGGGAATGTATGCACAGACCTGCTTCCTTATTTTGATTAACGGTGTTTGGATTTCACTGGCCCACAACAACCTTTCACTGTTGATAATAGCAATGAGACACATTTGGCACCTGCCACTGCGTTTGTTACCACCACGGTAGCATTCCTTTCGGCATATGTTGCTAAAACTGAAATTCTGCGTTTAACCTAAACCCTTTTTCTAGGCGTGTCGCCCTCATTCGGTGACTACGAAACACCAGAGATGCTCCGAGACTCGATCCGGGTAGCAGAGGCACTGAGAGATTTCCATGCGCATTATAACCAGAACTTTGATTTTGCACCCCTCGGTCCTGCACTTCAGCGTATGCAGCAGGCCTCTCTGGAGAGCGATGCATCATCCTCCGCCCTCCAGATAGCTCTTCTCTTCACTTCTAAGGTCTGCCACAACTTTTTTGCCTTTTAGTGTGGGATAATTCCCTTAATTTTTTCGGCCTCTTCCAAAAAAGTGGCTTTAATTTAGCGGGAAACAGATAAATTATTGACTTTAGAAGCTAGAAATCTGTAAAACTCGATTCTTTTCCCAAATAATCCCTAAAAATAGACTTTGCAAAAACTTTACGAGGGATTTTTGGTACATTTCCTGCAATCTTTTTGTAACTTGTAGGGACTTTTCTACGTGCCTTGATTGTAAAAATCAGACCTGCAGTACTCCTTACTGGACTTTCAGTGATTATTTTTTTAAATCTCCATACACACAATTTCAAGCTTGTCAGCCGGATTTTACGTCTACAGGAGTTGTAGAGCATTTGGTAACTCTGCTTCGTAATTATGATTTAAGGGAAAACTCAGGATGCGTTGTCACGAAATAACTGTTCTGACTGTTTGTAGGTCATTCCTAGTTGGTGCTTGTGAGTCGCTTGCCCTGCTATTTGATTGGGACAAACTCGAATATCAAACTTTCATAATCTTTGCCTTGCTCTTTCATTAGGACTTGCTGGGCACAGAAGTTATGCCCGACTCCGGTAATTTGGCCTTAAATTGGGCTAGAGGACGCGCGGAAATGTGCCATGTTTTCCCCGCTATACTCGCTAGCCTCGCCACAATCTGGTTGGCTCTGAACCAGTCCTGCGATCCCTCGTCGTCCTTGTCATCGCTCTCTTCGGGTGATGACCTTGAAGCCTCTTTTGAGACCGGTATCGACGCACTAGGTACGCTCCCGTTTTCATTACTGATCTGTTGAAGCTGATTTTCAAAGACAAAATTTTCATTGGTTCTAAAAACGCTTAATTCTTTGCTCAAGAGTTGATATCACTCCGATGTGTTACTGTGGCACCTAAGTTCTCCCTAAAGGCATTATGATGCCTGCTTCACTATCAACTTGTCGCTTTGCAAAGAAATGTTTAAGCCTAAAAATTATTCATAAAGGTAACATAAGATTTATTGCCTCATCACGAGACCATTTCCTCTAATTAAAATTAAAATGTGTGTCCTTGTGGAGTGATCTTGCCAATTTCCACCATCAGTGTGTAACGCTTTGGTTACGCCTGAAAGCAGTTTTTTTGAGGTTGAGAAGGGTTGGAGGACTTTTAGCATGGGTGGCACAAATCTGACGTTATTTAACCAGTGTTGCAGTTAAATGTGCTGCCAAAAAATTAACGGCTCTATTCTTTTTCAGACAGCGACAGTGCTCGGAGCGTCGCGATTCCGGTCCGTCTCCGTTGCGGTTTCAATCGCCTGCCTGCCCTTACCGCCCTCGGTCATCCCGAGGTGGTGCGTCGAGCGATCGATAACCTCCTGGAGCCCATCGCCCTTAGCCACCCCGCCCTCTTTT